AATCCCTCATGAAGAGACTCCCTTCCTGTCTCTGGAACATTTCAGATGTCGACACACCCAGTTTCACTGGCACCACTGCTAACAGGCAAATCCATACATGCCTTATTTCCACAGATCCTCTTCACTTCTCCCCCCTGGGAACAGAGCTGGCAAACTGTGGATTCCAGGTGACAGACTTGATGTGGATGCATCAAATTCAGGGTTCTTGTTTGTTCTCTATGGGAAGTTTGAGGTGGAGACATTAGAAACTGTAAGAACCATCAAAGGAGAAGCAGCCTCAACCTCCTTATTCCCAGCCTGCCTAACACATGGATGTTTTCTCTCCCCTCTATATTGCCTGGTTTTGGGGGGTTTCTGCTTTTATCCCTTTTGTCTTGATTTTGCAGTCCGGGCACCCAGTGTTCCACTTAAACAAAATCCCTGAGAAGCCAAAAGAATAGGGCAGAGAGTAGGGCGTAGGAGCAGATTAAGATTTCTCTCAAATTACTCCTAACATTTCCTACATTATAATCAGACCCCAGACTTAAGGACCTGTCTCCACTAGGGTTTGGATGTTAATTGCGAGCTGCAGGCACTGCCCGCTTTATGAGGCACTGCTGCCACCTCGTGCTCGTTTCTGAGCTGCTCAATCCTCCTCCCAAAATAAAACACTGGTTACAATTTCATCTTGGCAAACACTAACTTCTTTCACTTGTCAGAAACGTAACCATTTCACTGCTCTGTTATTAAGTATCGAGATTGGATAGTTTAACTTTGAAGGGGTTACTGTGTAACTCAAGTGGATGGCGGGGCAAAAATTAGGACATAACAAGCAAAAAAGGACAAAACTCTTAGTGAAACCAGCAGAAAAAGCTGATTTAACCACCAAAATTACTGTCAATCTTTTCTTTTAATGGCGGAACTGGTGTCATCCATTCGGAATTTCAGCAGGCAGCCGGCCACTCCGGGCCACCGGGCCCTGGACACGAACCATGGCCGTTCCCCTGAGAAACAAAACTCACCAGGCCGGGTTCCTGATGTCAGTTTGTAGGAGGCACTTGGCACTGTCAAACCAGCCACAGTTGGTTGTAGTGGAACCTTGCTTCAGGGAGGAATCCTGATCTGTTGGGAATTTCAGCAGGGTGTGAAGAATGCCTGCATCACGCAGGGGCTGTGAGCGCAGGAGCGTGGGCTGCCCAGGCACACTGCCACTGCTGCCATTCCCCAGTGCCCACCAGCCCCTGATCCCCTGCTGCTCAGGCAGAGCTGAAACAAGAGACAGCTGTTTATCACCCTTTTATTGCACTAATTCTTACAAAGGTAAGCATCACTGGCACTTATCTCGGTGTGTTTTGCTGCAGGGACAAACTGTCCTCTTGTCTGTACAGGAGAAGCTTTGATGTGTAAACACCTTTCAAATTGAAAATGCATCTTTATACCTCATCTAAATAGAAGTATCAGAAAAAATGACAGGCTATTTTGTAAGGATGTCCCTGCTGTAGCAGGTGAGTCTGCCCTTCCAGGAACGATGGCAACAATTTCAGTTCAGGATTAAGATCTGAGTCTTCCCCAGAACTCTAGGAAGTGACTGTTCAATTGAGGGGAGCTCTGGACAGACATTTTTTAAAGAAATAGAAAATAGGAGACAGCACACATCATGACTCACCTGCCTTAAGGAAAAACTGAAGAAAAGTCATTGAAAATGGGAAAAGGGAGTCAGGGAATACAGTCACATGGCCTCAACTGGTCATTTCAGAGCAGTGACTGAGCATAAAAGGATCCTCTAATGCATTGGTGGGTGGTTGTTGTGTGGGGATTGGGAGGGTCTTGATAGCAGCTGTGAGAAGTATGGGAGACCAAGGGTTTTGTATCTTGAAGGCAGAATAATCCAGATATGTAGCATGACCTACAGGGGGAAAAAAATTGGACAAATTATGTTTGATGGACTGAAAACCTTGAGTGCGGCCAAGTCACAGTTTTTAAGTGCTGTCCTGGCTGGGTGTGATGAGGCAGTGATTTTACTCCTGGCTCAGCACCAGTGGGAGTGACCAGCTGTATTACTGCAGCTCTTTGGGACAGGACAGTCCCCTCTGGCTCTGCCCTCTCTGATATTTTGTAGCTCCAGGCAGTAAAAATCCCCGTGTACCTCTGTGAAGTCCTGTAATATTAAATGGATGATGCCATGGGTGTGGATAGGCAATGACAGCCACGAGGCATGACTAAAGGTGTTTCAGATGCTTAGGTCAGACCTGCCCATCCAGCAGTGGCTCATGAGGATAATAACAGTGACACCTGCAAGCTGCTTTCCATGCAGGCAAAGGTCAGTGTTTGGTAAGTTCCAGTTCTTGATGTGATATTCAAAACCATAGCCTTTAATACGTGTGCTGCTGCCAACTTCAGCTCTGCTTCTTTTCTATTCCTTAAAAACTCGTGGCTCTCAAATCCACCAAATGGTGTGTGTGAGGGATTATGGCCCATGGCAGTGCATAAGCCTTTGTGTGCTTTTCATTTTTAAGATATACTTAATTATCTGAGCTAGTATCTGTTACCCAGTCTCTGGATTCTGTGCTTATCAGTCGTGGCTCCAGAGCATGTCCTGGCACACGAGTACTGCTGTTGGCACTTGATTGTGATGACACAAAATAATGTTGCCAAGGAGCGGGAGGCCCACTGGAGCCTAAATTCAGGTTTTGATTTCTTGGTTTGTTCCTATGATCATGCCACCCCTCTGGTAGCATTTGTAATGAGAATGGAAGGATTGATCACTTGTTTTTTGAGTTAAATTCAGGTCTTTTCAGATGAGGCTCTCTTTTTGCCTTAGAGTACCTAGCTCAGAAAATCTTGGAAGAATTTTCTGTGCTCGAAGTTAATGAGTCGTCTAGAAATAGGTGTTTGCAAACAGGATTAGGGATTTTCCTTCTCACTGTGAAACAAAGGAACACTTTGTGTTTATCAAAGTCCTTCCACTGAAGTGCAGCGCGCGTGTGTGATGCTGCCATGGCAGCCTGCTTATTGTGATTGTCTGCTACAAAAATAGAACAGGAATCTCTATTTTTCCCGTTACAGGTTCTCTCCTATCTTCAGCACTGTGTTTGTTAATGGTTTGAGGCCAAGTTATGAAGTAGCTCAACTCCAACTTCCAATTACTTATTAACCTAAAATTACTTAGTTATTAATCGTGCAAGGAGCAGAATGTAACAAAGTCTGTAAAGACTCCAGGATCATCACACTCCCTGCCTGTTCTAAAGAAATTATTGTTACCCTTTCACTCAAGAGGTGAAGCAGTTTTACCAAGTTGTGACTTGTTCATGGATTTCCAGGGCACGCAAACTATGCTGATTATGAAAGATGAAAAAAATAATTCTCTCTGTGCATTGATGATTGAATTTCTATGAAAGGGATCAAAGCCTTCTGTTTCTTGGGGTTGACAGTAAAGCAGTTCCTGCTCTGTGGCCCTGAGGACCTTTTTCCCCTCCCCATACCTGCACCCAGCCTGCACTGACCAGTCCTTCCCAACCACTCACCAGGTAATTTTGTGTGACTCAGATGAGGTCAAAACTTGCCCAGTGGCAGGAAGAGTTCAAGGGTTCAAGGGTGAGAGAGAGAACTAGAAATAAACCAGAGCCACGTTGCCCAGGCCAAGGTAAGGACCAACACACCTGGTTTTACTGGGAATGGGAGCTGCAGTTTTTATTACAATTAGAGGTTTCTTTGCTTTATTGTATTAATTTCTTACTGAGATATCTTTGCATGAATCTAAGTACTTAAAGTGCTTGGTTTGCAAGACTTGGTTACAAACTTTGAAAAAAATTAAAAAGATAAAAAGGGAAAAAGCTATCTGCAGAAATCCGAGGTTTTGCTTGCTTTTTAAGTTGCAAAGTTTGGGGTCAGGATGAAGCCTGATTTATCCTTCGGGGGGAGGTTAACATCACATTTTGCTGTTGTAAGCCAATAGTGCGGTCTTCAGTCATAAAAATACTCGGGTACCTCCTGCTGCCCACAGCTTCATGGTGTGAGTGTCCAGCAGGGTGGCAGACCTGTCCAAAACAGGTATTTGACATGATCTTGGCTTAGAGACTGAAAGGAGTCAGGCTGCTGTTGCTCTCTGCTCCAGCTCTCTGATCCCAGAGCACCAGGCAGCGTGCTCAAGTATCTGAAGCTGGGAGAGGAAAAACCAAACCTCTGGTTTTACAGAGCTGGAAAGCTGTGTGGGCTTGTGCCAAACTGTCCCACTTGAGATGGAGCAGCTCCAAGCCCCAGCACGGAGCTTCCATGCTCTTGTGAACTGAGTTAAAAAACCTTGCGTGCTGCTTCCCTGCTGTTTTGAGTGACACTCAGTGTTGTAAATACCAGTTAAGTCCTTGTGTCAATATTTTCAAGGTGCAAAGCCAGAAACTGCAGCACAAAGTTTAATCCCAAACCCCAGGCTTGCTGTGGTGTGTGTCTGGCAGTGTGTCCAACTCTGTTCAGAAGTATACCACAGGAGAGGATGTGATCAGGAATCAAACATTTGAGTATTCGAGTCTGTTCTGCCTCTCCCCAGCATCAAATTATACAAAGCAGAAGGAACTTGATATGAAAAAGTGCAATGAGATGGGCGTGAAGGCAAATTCAGGTTTGGTGTTTTTCATGCTCCTCTCTGTGGCCCAATAACTTCTTGTTTTGGGGTTGATCTGGTGAATGAATTGTTTGCTGGAAACAGCTGGGCAAACAGTGGAAATCGTGAAGGTGTGTCTTGTTCAACTCTTTTTTCTAGCTTAAGCATCTCCTTATGCAGTTTACTGCTGAGCAATTAAAGAGGCCATGCTTTCCTTCTGACAGATGCAGCTCTTGCCCAGTAATATTCATAAGGGTATCACACAGTTCAGTAAAAAAAAAAAAACAACAAAAAACAAACTGTGTGGGGTTAAGGTGACAAGCTGTTCTGTCACAACTTGCCATAACGTTCTAAATCTGTGTATCTACACCGATGGGTTGTACCAGTTGTTCCCCCAAACACTGAGGATGGGCAGGTATCTGAGGGAAAGCATGCTTTATCCGATGGATTAGGAAACAGAAGAGGTTGAAGCCCAACAAGAGCTTTGGGCACGGGATGTTTCACCAGACGATTCCAGGGAGTTGGCAGGTTGCCTCCCTTGGCCAAGGTAGTGATTAAAGCGTTAACCGGAGCCTCCTGGAGGTGGAACCGTGACTAAGGGCGGGCTCCTGTCAGCGCCCGGAGAAAGGAAAGTGGTAGGTAAATATTCCCGACGTGCACCGAGGTGCGGGGAGTGTCCTGGGCTTCCAGCATTCCCAGTTTGTTAAACAAAACAGTAATTAACAGCAGGGACCCGGGCAGCAGCAGCAGCAGAGGCGGCTGTCCGCCCTGGCCATGCTGCCATGCCTCCTTCGGGGCTCAGGGAAAGGCTCGTGAAACTCCTGCTGCGCTTCTTCTGCTCGGAGCGCCCGGCCAGGTGAGTGCCGAGGGCGGCTGGGCTGCTCCTCTCGCCGGGGAAGCGAGCTGGGAGGCTCCCGCACCGCCGGGCACTCCTCGGGGGCATTGGGGTGCCGGGGGAAGGAGGAATGCTCCACAGGAGCTCCTAAAGGCTGTGTGAGAGCCGGCTGAGGTTGGTTCGGGCGGTGCCGCCCCTCGGTGTGCCCGTGCCCTTCCTGGGGTGCCGGAGGATGCGGGAGCGACATCAGCGACCTTGTGCGGGTGGACACGACCCGTGCGGGCAGAAAGGAGCTGCTCCCGCAGCGGGGTGACCCTGCCTGAAAGGGATGTGTGCGAGCCCCGCCGGAGCAGTGCCCCGGGGCAGGGAGCGTGTGCGCGTCTCCTGCGATGTGCCTGGGAAGGTGAAGGGGCCGTACTCGCATGATCCAATTCACCGCTGTTTTTGTCAAATCCCATTCCCAGCCTGCCTGAGCAGAGGGCTTATGCTGTGATTTGTACTCAAGGGGTGCTCTTAATGCTCTGTACTGAACAGCTAAGTATTAAAATAAGGTGTGAAGAAATCTGAAAGCCCGAGGGAAAAAAAAAAAACCACCTTTTTTTTTAATTAGTGGGGAAAACACAGTTGTTCAGAAAGTACTTTGTTTTAATTACCACCTTTTTCTTTGGTGGTAGGGACATTTAACGTAAACAAAAATAACAAACAAGGGGAACGTGAAGTCCCATAACTAGAGTATGTGACTAGTAAAATTATTCTCCTGATACTGAGTTTATCTATCTGAACAAATCTTAAATTCATCTTCATAGCAACCAATCAGGATTGAAGAGTTTGCCAAATACCAGACACCTGTGCGTTTAGAAGATGACTCAGCTGGACATGGTGTTGTGCCTATGTACAGAATATTCTGTGTGCCTGCAGTGGATAGCTGAGCTAACAGACAGCTGAGCCTTATGGTTTCTGTACAAGACATGGAAGAGGTTCACCCTATGCTGACTTCCCGTGCGTTTGGAAGAACTTTGGGGAGCTCTGGGTTAAAATACCTAGGGGTCTTTGCTGAGCTTTGGGGTTTTAGTTTCTCCAGCACGGGCAGAGGCTCTGCGTAGTGCACTGCGCTCTGCGGGCCCTGTCTTCATGTATGGATGCACCAGAAAGCACATCCAGGCTGTTTCACAAACTGAGGTGCTGCCTTGCTGCTCCTCCTTGGCTCACTTCTGGATCCTGGGTGTCCTCTCCTTCCAGTTCTCCTCTGCAGCTGCCTTTTTTAATCCTTGTCTAAAAATCTGTGTAGCCATTTGCTCTTAACTTCTGCTGTCTCATTCCTGCACTCTACCGTCCCTGGTCTGTCCCCTTAAGTAAATGACTTAAATATCACTGTATTGAATAGAAGGGAGCAAGTCCTCTTATCTGCCTCTGCATGGACACTTGGACTTCTTCTTTGGGGGGGAAAAAAACCAAAACCATTTCAGGTAAGTATGAAACTTACAGACAAGTACAGCTCATTACCTTTGTGAGATTTATCTTGTGCCCTGACATGTTGCACAAGACAATGCTCTTGCAGCTTTGAAATGTGCACTGGTCTGCTTTCCCTTTGCTTTTCCTAGATTCCTCCAATAGTTGCAATCCTCCTCGAGAGATGCTCAGTTTGCAGCTCCCCCAGTTTTCATGTCATCCTGACTTTCCCATTGCTTTCCTGTCTTTCCTTCACTACGTATTTCATGTTTCAGTCAGTCTTCCTCCAAGCATTAGGTTTCTACTTAGCTAAGTCTCAGGCCAGCTGTTTAGTCCAGCCAAGGTCCCACTTTCCAGGTGTAACCTATCTGAGGAAATTCTGCCCTTCTAGTCCAGTTTAACATAATGGTAGAGACACCTGTGTGATACCAAGTAAGTCAGGAGATGGCTTTGAATAAGTGGCACAGGCAGATATGGTTGGAGTGGCTGGAAAACTAGCATGGCTAGTTCAAATCAAAGGGAGCAGTGGAAAAGGCATTTCACTTCTGTTTGCTTCTCAAAAGGACTACAGGGAAGTGGCATGGAAAGCAGCAAGGTAGCAGGAGGTGATGGGAAATCTAAGAGCTTTGTGGATTTAGGGAGTGCCAGTGCAAACATCCTGGCATCTGCTGTGTCAGGTCCTGGTGCTGGGGAAGTCACTGCGCAGTGGCAGCCCACAGGTTTAGGTCTTGGCTAAAAATAAGCCACAATGTGCCCATGGGAAGGGTCCAGGGAGCAGAGGTTCACCTCTGGAGTGAGCTGGTGGTATGGAAGTGTTTGGTGCAAGGCTGACAAGCACAGCAGGTCACATAGCTGAGGAGAACATAGTGAGAGTTGTGCTTCTCCCCAGCCACAGGAGAGAAGGCTCTGTCCTGGGTATTGCGGCCGTGAGGGAAAGAAAGAGAAAGGCATCGGTGAAGAATTATCCCCATCACCACCCACTCTTCCAGTTAGCTTTATTTCCAGCATTTTAATGGCACCTGGCTGATTTAAAATCTGTCCAAGGTGTTTAAGGCAAATTTACTGGGAGCCATTTGCTGCGTAGCAAAACACAGTGTTCATCTCTTTTGTGTGTGTGTGAAAAGGTCACTTCTCTCCATGTGCAGAGATCAGCTTTTTCTTTCAGATGAATCATTTTAAGGCCAAATAGTGTAGAAAAGCAATGGAGCTGCTGGAGCTTGCCAGTGTGGCTGCTCTACAGTTAATAGAGGTGACTTGGCTATCCACTGCTCTTAGCATGTTGTTTCCTGACAGGTGCGAGGAAGCTGAGGTCTGTGTTCAGCTACTCAGGTGCCAGAGTGCATAAGCTCCTCTGCATCTTGAAAAAAGGGCTTGAAATAACACTGACACAGACAGCTGCTTCACTCAGAGCTCTTAAGCAAATCACATAAAATCAGATTTCAAGGTGTGGCCAGTGGTTACTGAAGTCATTTCAGAGGGAAAAGCCAAGCAGTGGTATACAGCAGTGTATTCCTCACACACAAACTCATGTCTGTACAGAAGTCCCTGGGCTTGTTTGGCTTGCAGGTATGTTTTTGTCTTGATGGAAGTCACCCAAAGGACAGAGGAAGTGCTGCTCCTTTCAGTGAGCTCCTGATAGAGCACTGCTAGAAACACCAGCTGCTCAGGTAAAGCTCATTTTGGTAGGGCACTCTGGTTTTAGGGGTTAGGAAATACCTTCCTATATATTTTATAGGGTGAAGATCGTGGTTTTTATATGCAAAACTTCTCATTTGTCCTTATATGTTGTTTTTTAGAAGCTATTGATCTATGATTATGGAAAATTGGTGACATCTAAAAAAGCAGCTCAGTGGTGCAGTACACAGAGGTGAGGTGTTTCCTCTTTGCCCAGCCATGACCCGTTCAAGGTTGAATGCTCCCTAAATCAGTTTTTGGAAGGCTGCTTGTCACGGGGACTATAGACAATCAGCTGCTTTGCAGGTATCTTCGACCAGGCCCTGTCCAATGCAGTCTGAAATAAGATTCAGGTCAATCCCCTGGCATTAAGGGACAATGGGCGTCTAGTGCTGTGAGCCAAATTCCTCTGTCATCACGTCCAAGTAAGAGAAATGGCAGTGGAATGATCAACTCCCAGTGCAGTCTTTGGAGATGTTACTGCTTTTCACAGGATTCTCTGAGGTTTTTTTTCCCAGCCATGTGTCATGCTACTTGTTCAGTTAACTCCTCAGTCCTCCTTTTATTCTAGTACCTGGGGGTGAAGGAAAGAGCCTAGACTCCATAATTAAGTTTATTGAGGAATGCATTGTTGAAGTCTTGTGGCTCTGGCTCGTTGCCTGCATAATATGCTTGAATCCCAGTGTGGAAATCTGTAAATTGTATTGCTGCCTCCCTGAAATTACTGTCTTGCTCTCCCTTTGCTATTCCACTTGCTTGGTGTGCAGCAGGACACTGCTTAGCATCACCACTCCTTCCCTTGCCTGGTTTTAGGAATCCGGATGAGGGTGGCTGGCAGAGTCGCAGTGTGTTCTGCTGACCCTGGGTCATGCTCTGTCCATAGTGGACACATGGATCCTGCCCAGTACCTGCGCTGCTGTCTCAGAATGCTGACAATTTGAGCATAATCCTGGACTTGAAGAAGTCCTAAAACTGCTTGAGGAAGTCCTGGTAGATGTAGTGCTTGGGATTTAAGGGACTCTTCTACACTTGATGGGAATAGCTTATGGCTTTTTTTATTAGGACTGGGAAATAGTTAGGTATTAAGGCAAAGTATGAAGTAGTCAAAATATGATGTAGTGAGCCCTCAGCTTGAGTGTCCCAGCCTGTGTCACTTAGCCAGCTAAAGCTTTGTGCTTGATTACTATTCCATCTTCTGTAGTAACAGTAGTGGATGCATTTAGTTTTTTTTCACCTTTTCCTTAGATTCATCTCTTCTGAGTAAATGAAGAAAGTGACTATGAAGGCACAGCATCTGCCTTCTGTTTTCATCAATGAAGAGAAGTTCGTAACCAGGTAAATTATTAAAACACTGGATATTTAATGACTTTGCTGCTTTCTTTCAAGTTATTCCACATGAATTCCTTGACAGGGGATCCCGTAGAGAGCTGAGCCTGTAGCAACAGCAATAGTTAGTTTAACTACTAGTTAGTTAATTGTTAGTTAGTTAACCATTAGTTAGTTTAATACTTAGTTAGTTTAACCTGCCTACAGAACAGAGTTGACCTTTACATGGAATTAAAAGAACAGAGCATTAAATTTTTGGGTCTGTGGTTTTTTGTTCCTCAAGGAGAACAGCCCCTCTAGAGGATTCTGAAATAAAATTACAAGTTAGGGAAGAAGACCTTCCTGTCTTGGAAATCTGTTGGAATTGACCATAAGTTCCAGAGTTGAGCTTAGCTTGTCTGCAGCTTGGGGTTTGGCAGCCCTGGATTGCAGGGTATCTGTGCAGAAAGACTTCTGGACTGCTAGCTCTCTGCTGTGGTCAGAGGAAGAGTCTCTTTCACCTACTTGTGAAAAAAAGCTTGGAATTGCAGTCTAACTGTCATTTGTGGGATGCTTTTCCACAGTTCAGTCTCCCTGGGAGGAATTTTTCCTACTGCTGCCCCAAACTCTGAGCCACCTGGCATTTAGCAACATCCCCTTTCTTATGGGATTGTTTTTCCCCTGTTGACAAGAGTGCAGGAGCTGGAAGGAGAGCCTCTCTTCTCTCTCCATTTCCATTGCTCTTGGTCTTCCCATGGGAAAGAAACCACGTGTGGACTCAGCCAGGGATGGGTCTGCAGTGGAATTCATCGTGCTGCAGGAGAGGTTTGTTCCTGACTCCTGATACTTTCCTGTGTGGCCTGGGCAATGCTGTTCTCTCCCTTTTCAAGGAAGGGTGTCAGGGCTTTGCCCAGAGCACGCAGGCAGCAGATGCATCACTCCCTTTCTCTTCAGGAGTCGTTCCCTTTATACTGCTGCTAATTTGGGCTGCAGTGCTTTTGTGTCAGAGGTAACTCATGTGTGTGAACTTGGCATGGAAAAGCGTTTGGAGGTGTACCAGGTGAACCAGTGTCTCTGGGGCTTTATTGCTCTAAGCACTTGCCTGTTCATGTGGTGAAATGTGCATCCCAATTGAGACCTTTCTGCATGACAGCCATGGTTTAAACTTTCTTCACCTTGCATCAAGGAAATAAGCATTTCAAGAACCACTGACATTCCATATGCACTCAGGCTTGCTTCCAATGCAATTTCCAGACTGTCATCCCTCATCTCTGCCTTGAATCTGCTGTTACACTGCTTCTCTTCCAGTTCTATCCTGCAATCTTGCTGATGGGGCAAGCTTGCTGTTTGGGAATTGCACAACGGCTGGATCAAAAGGCTGACCAAAGGCTGTGGGATGATTTAGCTGGCTGAACTGCTGCGTCTCCAGCAAAACTGCCGTAAATATTCAGGGATTGTGTGCAGGGCTTGGGCAGGAGAGAGCACAGGTGAGCTGTCCTGGGTTAGTGTTTCCAGAGAGCAGCCTGGGCTCTGTTGTGGTTCACCACCTGATCTTGCAGCTCCTTTGTATCCCGCTTTTGCTGCTGAAGAAAGTGGTGAATCTGCAGTGCATGTTACATTTTTGGGCTGAGTTTCTCTGCCAGTTACTTGGCTTTGGTTTCTGTTAATGGCTGTGTTTGGCTGTTGTCCCAACAGCTGCTGATTTTCCAGACACCAAACTAGCAGAGATGGCATCTGCCTCTAGATTAGGGCAGCAGGACGATGTGTTACAGTAAGACTACTCCTGGAACTAGGCTGGTGCACATACTCCCTTCTGGGACAAAAAGAAGGAAAATGTTTTTTTTTCTCTTATGTTTCTACTGCACAAGGACAAACAAGTCAGAGTGAGCTGCTGTTAATCTCTCCCTCAGGGCTTTTCTAATTGCTTGTGTGGTTTGTCACAGTTGGTTGCACTAATGCAAGGCTGAAACCTGAAAGATTTACTTATGCAAACTTCTCAGGAAGGTAATGGCAAGTTTTTCTAGACAAGGCAAGAAACTGTGTGGAAATCTTGAGGGCTTGCTCTGAGAAACAGAATCTGCTTCAGAGATGACCCTTAGCAGACCACTTCCTGCTGTTAGTCTATGATTTTATTTGCCTTTGCAGTCAACATGGACTAAGAGTAATAGATGACCCTCAGAGCGTGCCCCAAGTCCTTAAGTATTTCTAATCCATCTTCAGGGAGCTCACCTTCCCAATGTCCTGCTTGGAACAAACTTGTGAGATAACAGCTGTCAATGAAATGATTGCTAAATGCTGTGAAGTACAGAGACTTGAGTGTGGAGCACCTTTTGAGCAGGATCAGCAGGTCTGTCACAACATCCCATGGACAGAACTGCCTATCTCCTTCTTGCCTGGTAATCACGAGTTGCATCTGGAGCTTGCCTGTGTACGGGGCCAAGGCATGCTTCATCTTGCTTGCCTGTAGCCAGTTCTGTGATCAGAACTGGGCTTGCATCTGATTCATATCCAAACCTATTTGCATTCCCTTTTGGTGGGATGACCTGAATGTGGTCCCCCACAGAGACATAAGGGACTTCCAATGAACTATTTCAATCCAGGGCAAAGAAGGACTTTTGCCACCAGCATTCTGAGGGTTTAAGACCAAAGTTGAAGTAAATATTGAAAGTACTTCTTTAGAATCCAGTTGATAAAACTAGTTAAAAATATTTTTGTGTGTGGGATTGCAGTAATGTAAAGTAAATAATTTACATCCACAGAATTAGCAGGGAATGCAATGAACCTTGAGTTTTGTGCTGCAGCCCTGTCCTCATGTTACCTGCTAGGTAAAAGCCCAGTTGATTTTCTCCCTTCTCACAGTGGGAAAAGGCTCTCTGAAGCAATGGGACACTGTCGTGTTTATTAAGTGGAGAGGGAGGGATAGGTATGACAGGGAAAGCTTTCCATATTCATACTCTGCACGCCCTCTGCCCCAAGCACAGGCTGGACATGTTACCTGCCCTCCTGGCTGTCCCTGGTTCCTCTCTGGTGTATGGACACCTGGGCCCAGGGGAAAGCCACCTTCCTGGGGCCTGTCCCCATGCTGAGCTGTCAGTTCCTCTGGGGCACTTCCTTTATTTAAAATTGCTGGAGGAGCTGTCATAGTGTTTCTGATGGTTCATGGGTTCTGAACAGCTCCAGCAGCTCTCTGAGGAATGTGTGCTGCAGAGTTTGCAGGTGCTGTGTGTTCCATCTGTGGGCCTTGCTGCTCCAGCAGCTCCCACAAACGTGGAAATAAAATAACAAGCAGTCTTTGGAAAAAAACTCAGTGTCCTCACACATCTCTGTGAGGCAGGACATGAAACCATTGTAATCGTTAGTCCACAAGGAAGAATTTGTACACTTCCATGCAGTTGTTCCCCATGGTTAACCACCTCTGCTGGTGGGAATTGCTTGCTTGAATTACAGTCTGAGTTGTCTTTAAATGGTGGGGGGAAGAGCGCTTCATTCTCGATGGCCTTGAAAGGCATTTCAATTAATTCTGTCGTTGTTCAGCCCTCCACAGCCTGACCTGCAGCTGGCTTTGTCTCCGTGGCTCCTTGCTTGTCGGCAGAGGTTCTCTTCATCTCCTTCCTTTCTCCTCTCAGCAAAGACGTGGTGCAAAGCTGTTTTGTTTCAAGCAGAGGGAAATAGAAATGTTAGCCATCCTGTAGGTGTTTGGAGACAGGAAAAGTATCTGAAGCAGTATGAGACCCGAGTGGAAGCCAGCATGCAGGGAAAACCAAGTGTAGCCTAGTTAAAGTAACCTGCAGCATTGGTGCATGGGGAGGTTGTTCTGTTTGCTTCCTGCTCATGACTGCTGCAGAGGTGCAAAGTACGAGCTGTGCTGGGGCAGCGTTATTAAGGTCATGTGAGACTGACTAATTAATTTCCTCTGGGCCTTTAAAGAAGCAACTTATGAACAGCCCAATAACTTGACAAAACTCTTCTCTCAGAAAATGATGTATGGATCATTAATAAACCTGTACAAGGATCCAGTGGGTAGCACAATTACAATTATGGGGTGTTACCCTGCCACATACCACCAGCATTTTACAGAGATGTTAAATTTTTTTTTCCCCATTGTGATCTTTATTCTAGAGAGCAGCTCAGTTCTCTTCTGAAGAATTATAACTCTTACTATTCAGATCAAGAGAATCTACAACTGACATATAATCAGGTAAGGATTTAGGAGTGAGAAACTCCACTAATCTGGACATCACTAATTAGTGCTCTCTTCTCCTCACAGCACTGGACTCCACTTGCTGTGGTGTTGCTATTGCACGACATGTCCCATCTAATGTAATAAATAAATAATGTAAAAATGTAATTGATTATTATTAGTTGATTATTTTTACGCCATTATTATGCAGCACTATTTCCCTGTTTTTCTCCAGCGAGAAGGCAGCACCCCATTCATTGAAGGAATCCTCTCAATATTCTGGGGCGTGCGACATCCTATCCGATTAAAGATCCAGGATGAGAAGCAGATACCCTCTTTTGTAACCCTGAAGTCAGCAGAGAATGTGGGGGTTTTCCCTAGTAAAAGGTAATGTATGCACTTCCCTGGGGAGGCTAGCATTGCAAGATAGCTCGTGTTGTGCCCTCAGTGGCTGTGGCTGGCTGCACTGCATATCCCAGATTCCCCAAAGGCCGTGGTGGTCGCTGGACAGCAGAGCCTTTCAACAGCTCCTGCTGGGCTGGAAGGTGTGTGTTTGTAGCATCTGTGTTTGGCCCTCAGGCTGAGGAGCTGGAGGAGGCTGCTCTTTTTCATGGGAACTGACAATTCCTACACAAGGACTGGGAAATTGATGTGTATAAAATATAGGAAAGGACCCAAACAAACCCCTTGTGTTTCCATGTGCACTGATACTGGTAGCCCCTGAGAGGCCTCGTGTTGGTGTACACACTAGAGCACGAAGCCAGAATCTGGTAGGTAAGTGCTGAGGGATTGTCTGTCCCAGCTTACATTCCCAGGTATGTGAGGTCTGGAACCATTGCTGCTCAGGTGAAGTTCAAGTCAAGGAATGGATAGTGGCTTTGTCTGTGCAAAATTTGGTGTAAAAACCCCTTAAAATGCCCACAGACCAGCTGTTCCAGCTGCTGCCCATGGCATTTTATACCCCAGTGTGTTGTGCTCAGTGATACAGGTACTCAGTGTACTTTTCCTTTGTTTTGAACACTGTTTTCCCAACCTTGGTTGGTGAATTTGATGAGCTGAATCTTGTAGTACAGAGGCAGAGCCAATGTTTGCCCTGAATGACTCCCTGATGAATTGAGTATTGCAGAGTTTATTTTTCTAATGACTTATTGTCTTAGGTTGCATGTGGGACATGTTGGAACTGAACTGGGGATTTAATTCTGCCACCTTTGCAGCTGTGGAGTTCCAGTAAAGTCCCCTTCCCAATCTCTGGCTGCTGAAATTCAGGGATGAATTTGGACAGGAGTGACTAGGAAAGAACCTGAGCTTTAGGCAGATCTGGCTCTCAGTTTACCTTGACCAGGTCTGCTGGTGTGGGGTGCAGGGCAGTTCTTAAAAAACTTGTGGCTGGTGGAAATCTGTATGCTAAAGTAAACATTCACTCATGATCCCAGAAACGTGGGGCTGCCCTGACATGCTTGAAGGTATGCAGAGCAGCTTGGCTGTCTGATCTTAAATTAACTTGGTAAATGTGTGGAATACAACCAAGATCTTGTTTGGCGTGTAAATTGGTGGTAGCTGAATATTGTTGGGAATACACAATATACATATACATATGAAATTCATTTTTAATATTGCACTACAAATTGGTTTATTCTCGGTCAGAGCAGTAACTGGATGAAGATCTTAGGCTGAAGAGTTTAGGCAATGATTTATGGAAATATTGACATGAATGCAGGTTTTCTGAAAGGCTGGATGGAACTTTCTGCTCTCATACACAGCTGGTTTGGACAACCCACGGGGCTGTGTGTAACTTAACCTGTGTAACAGACCTGTGCTCTGTAACTATTAAACAACAGTTTGTGTGTTTTGTGTGCCTGCCTGGTAGTCTGAGTGTGATTAATCCAGGTTGTTGCTGTGAAACAGATCAGGAATTACTGCAAGTTGTTTAAGTTATGTCCTGGTTGATGTTCAACAGGTTTTAAATTGGATGTGTTACATTTGGGATCGCTGGTCATACTGTATTTTAATATTATTTTGTTATGACTTAAACTAAAATTACCATGCTGAAGTCTGTAAGTTGAGCAGGGATAGGGATGACATGATCCCTGGCCACAGGATAAACTGAAATCACCGAGTTAATGAGGAGCATTATCAGTGAATGATAACTACGTGTTTGGTCTTTCAGGGGAATGACTCGCTGGGGAGAGTTTGATGACCTCCACGTTTGGTCTTTCAGGGGAATGACTCGCTGGGGAGAGTTTGATGACCTCCATGTTTGGTCTTTCAGGGGAATGACTCGCTGGGGAGAGTTTGATGACCTCCATCACATCAGCGGGGATACACTGAAATCTCCTGAGGAACAGCCAGACCTCGAGCAAAGTTAGTGTCAGTGCTCTCAGGTTAACCAAAATTTCTGTGTTCTGTGACCGTGCCAAAGGCCTCTCACACGTCAGGCCCCCCCTACCAGCAAAGGGAATAAATCTCTTTGCTCTGCAGCATGTACTGCAAGCTGGGGAAACACCGGCCTAGGGCTGGTTATTGCTGTGCAGGTGACTTGGTGAACAGACAGTGGGAATGAGCTGTGCCTTTATCCAAGAAATCATTCCCAAGGGAGCAAAGCAGCAAACTGCAAACACTGCAATCAGCCTATTCCTCATTTTATTCCTATGCCTTGTTCCTTTCCTGCTCCACCCCCTCAAAAAATAATAAATAGTAAATAGTAAATGAAGCCCTTCACTGAGAGCCTCCTTCCCCTGGGGGTGCTGGCAGGGAGTGGCCAGCAGCTGCACACGATGTGTGGTTCTATTCTGTCCAGGTTATCCATGCTATGAAAGTCACACGCTCAAGTGCAGGAGGGAGCAGGAGCTTGAGTGTGCCACCCTGCCCCGGACCAGCAGCGACGCCACGGCCGTGCGCAGGAGGACCAAGCTCCCCACCATAACCAGGACAGAAGTAGAAACTCACAGGTTCTCTATCAATGGCCACTTCTACAACCACGAGGTAGGAGGTTTTAGGCTTGGCTTTGTCACCTGGGAGACAGGGAGCCCTGTCCAGTGAGTTGTGCCTCACGCTGACGCCGTGGTGTGGCTGTTCCTGTTGCCAGACATCAGTGTTCACTCCGGCTTTTGGGTCCGAAACCAAAATAAGAATCAACAGCCAGATGAGGACCAGACAAGTGATAGAACAGTTGCTTCGGAAGTTTAAGGTAAGTCTGCTGGCAGGAGGAGGCGTGGCTGTGTGCTGGAAACGTTCATTCCGATGTCCAGCAGTGCAGGAAAGATGGGGAATAGCTGGGTGAGGATAGTGCATGGAGCAGAGTGTAAAAAAAACCCAGATGGGCAGTTTTAAATGTCTGTCACGGGCTTTCTCTGAGAGCCAGGTGTATGGGAAGATGGCAAGGTTCGAGCTAAAAGCACTGCTCAAGGGCAGTGCCATGCTGTCTGAAACGATTCATTTTCTTTATTTCCTTGGAACCATCTCCCACCAGCTACGTCGTATGCGGTCAGAAGTCGCTTTGCCCTTACTGCTGCATATTTCTCAAGTATCTTGATTTTGCATGGCTGCTTAGTGTTTAATTTATACTTTAATGGCCTTAAACTTCCCATTTAACTTGTCTAGAGACTTCGCTGTTGCAGAATTACTCTGTGTGGTTAGTAAGACTTGTGAGTGTCTTGGAAGGAAAACTTAGCTTCTATAGGGAAGGGAATTACAGAGCAGGGAGTAGAAGTGCAGGGAATAAATTGCAAAGTAAGTGTTCAAAAGGCTGTCAGGCACGAGGGTAAGTTACAGAGGTTTACCTTGATGGCAGCACAAATAGCAGATCTGCATGCAATCTGAGAGAAGTTAGCTATAGGAAGCAGTGAAGGATGCTGCAAGGGAAGCAGGCAGCAAAGATCTGGGCTTCCAGTGTGTTACTGATTTGGGCAGCATGGGAACACAAGGGTTAGGGCTGGTGAATATGGCAGCACAGCTTTCTGCCTTATCCAAATCCAGTATCTTTAACTCTCTTACAGACACGATCCCTGTCTCAGACTTTGATCTAAATCTCTGAGCTGAGACACACAGGGGAAATGTGCTGAGAGGGAAGTGCTGGGAAGGTCTGTGAGTCTGAGTGCATTTTCTTTTTTTTTTTCACAGATAGAAAACAGCCCCCATGAATTTGCACTTTACGTTATCCATGCATCTGGAGGTAAGCCAGCCACTGCTGCCTGATCACTTCAGCTCCAATCATTCTCTGTGTGTGTGGAATGTGTCCCTTGGGTTAACAGGACTTGTCCCAGGCCTCTGACCTTGTTTGTGCAGTGTGTCTGTGGTGTGGCATTTTGCCTTCTCATGGACCCTCCAGAGGTGTGTCCTCCGGAGAGGAAAAGCTGAATAATTGTATTGTGGGCCCTTTCAGCTGACAGCTTTGGATTGCTGAGTTCAAAGTACTCATTGTTCAGTGGAAAGAGGTTACTTCCATAGCAGCTTACTCTTACTTTTCCAGGAAAAGGGAGATTTGATCTTTAGTAAAGGAAACACCTGGGAGAATGGGAAGGAGCTGGGAGAGAAGGTATTTTAAATGGCACAATATTAGGGACCTGTTAGGTATCTGTCAGTATGGGATCCATGTCAGGAAAAAAGGCTCGTGACTGCAGGTGGTAGATGGAGCCCCTGTGGTACGTTCCACGTTTTATGACACTGCTTATAAATTCCAGAAAAGAAGCAGCTGAGGAGTAGAGATGTTCCCTTGCTGCACAGGCTGCTGCAGGGGCCCTCTGAGAAGGTTGCCAAGTTCTTTCTCATGGATGGGGACGTGGAAGAGATCAGCAGTGATGTATGTATATCCTCACTTCTCACAGTTCATGGAGTTGTTCTCAATGACCACAGTTAGCAGTGCCTTTCTTGTCTTCTCCTTATTAGGTTGCTCAGTACATTTCATTTCATCTTCCCTTTTTGGAATCCATTCTGCACAGAATAAATGAAGAGGAGGAGCAGGAGATTCAACAGACAACTGCAAGGTACACAGACACAAAATGAGGTGTCACAGAGTCCAGGGCAATCTGTACCATTGGGTCATGAGCAGGACATACAGATGTGGCAGAGTGCAGGCAGAACACTGTGATGGGAAGGCTGAAGGGATTGGGAGGGTTCGTAATCCTTTCCCTATCCTGCTGCTCTTAAAGATTCCATCATTAATACTGACTACACACAGAGTGGGGTCTTCAGAAAATTTGGACCCTGAGGGTAACTTCTCTTTATTTTGTTTGCTGTTTGCTTTCTGGGCCTTTGACTGGCTCAGTTTTTACTTGCTGCTGCTCCCTTGGGAAGGGTAAATGCAGTACCACACACGGTACCATTTTGGTTCTGTAGCATTTAGGCCACATCAGTGCCAGCTGTCCCCTCACAACCTGAGCTGAGTGGAATCCCCCTGGCAGTAGCTCAAAATGCCCCACAGGTACAAGCCAGAGGAGCTCCCATATTTGTGAGCCTCTGAGTCCTGAGTCCAAGAACACTTAAGAGGCTGCAGCAGCACAGATCTGTTACTGCGTGGTGGGCTGCTCATCATGTTGAACCAAAGTGTTCAGGAAACGTTTAGAAAATAGTAGACTTGCCTGCGTTGGGAAAGTTGGACACGGACACAAAAGCTGGGAATAGACACACACGTGACCAGCTCGCTGGAATTAGGGCTGGAAGTTTGCAGAGGTTATTTAAATGCCTTCTCCCTGTCAGGTACATAAGAGAGAAGAGGCTGATACTGCAGCACCTTCGCAGTCAAAGTGTGAAGAAAACAGAGACCACGGTGTGATGGGCCAGCCCCGGGAACACTGGGAATGCTGGGGCTGCTGGGGCTGCTGGAGGGCAGTCCTTGCTGCCTTCTGGGGCTGGTGGAGTGCCCAGTGGGAGAAGTCTCTCCTCACCTTTAACTCCTGCAGCGCTGGGGTGCAGGCTGGAAGCAGCCACGGAGATGCACTACATCAGATGCTGGATCTGACTTGGAACATGGGCAAAAAAAACTCCCCTGAAGAGCCCAAGGCTTTAAATCCTGCTGATGTGTGACCTGGCACCAAGAGGCTGGCGTAGAAAAATACTGCAATAACCAATGTGCTGGTAGAAAATATGCAAACTAGGAATGTGGTTATCCCTCTGTTAAAGAAATATTGTATTATATTAGCAGAAAGCTTTTCAGTAGAGCCAAGTGGCAGAAGATATTTATGTATTTAAGACTGCAGGTAGAATTTCCATTTAAGTTATGAAATAATCGATGCAAGATGCCTGAAATCCACTGGCTTCAGGCTGGTGGGTGCTGAAACTGCTTGAGCTTTGAGCTGCTGTTAGGAAAACATAACTGGAAACTCTCCCCCTTAGGAGCTACTCAGCTCTTAGCAATGACAGGGAATTTATTGCTGAAATACCTCGTGAACTGCAAAGTAAGAACTGACTGAACACTGTTGGCTCCTGAAAGGCATCTCGGTGGTTTCTGTAGTTGGAACCAGTGATTGTGTTCCTGCCTGTGTGCTCTGTTTGGCAGGGCATTGAGGGTGCTCAGTGAGAGGCTGTGTTACAGCCACGCAGGGCTGCAGTTTGCCCCCAGCCCCACACAGGGCACGGCTCCCAGGTCCTTCCTGGCCGAGCTGTGCTCAGTGTTAGAGCTCCAGCTGCAGAGATGTAAGTAAAATAAACCTGTGCACAGCTCCTTGTCCTCCTCGGCAGCTGGTTGTTTTGGCCTGGTGTCTGCGCCTTACCTCAGCTGCCTTTGTCTCATGCAGGTGACAGATACCTGCGAGGGAGGAAAGGCATGTGCAGAACGTGGTGCCCAGAGATTGTGTGGAGTAAATCAAATTGGAAAACTTCACACTGCTGGCATGTGAATTCAGAAAGTGAAGGTCAAGGTGCTGATATTGAAGCTGCTCAGGTTGCAGCAAGTGCCTTATTTCAAAGTACAGTTTATTATCCTGCCCAGGAAAATGGTTAGGGACAAGGGAGCACAGAGGGCAGAAATAAAAACAATTCACAGCCAAGAGGTAGGAATTAAACAGGCCGTTTCTGTCACCATCTGATGTTCAAGACTTGAATCCCTTTCAGTTCTCTTGTCTTGGGTTGGGACTGTCACTTCTGTCAGACAGCTGTGGGACAGCACACAGAGCTGGTGCTGCTGGCCAGGATTACAGGGAGTGAAATGAAGCTGTGACTCCTGTGGGCTTGGTTCTTTCTGAGGGCTGTGCTGTCTAAATGAACTGTTCCTGACAAATACAGGCAAGAGCAGGGGAAGAATTTCTTCCAAGGTATTCTGGCTTGGACACAAAGCCATTACCCACAGAAACAGTGATTAAAGTCTGTATCTTACCTGAATTTGTACATTGAGCTCATTTCCACTTACACTTCATAAGCTTAGGATTTAAAATGCCTTTCTTTGTTTTGTTCTGTGACTGTTTGGGACAATACAGTAACATTTCACACCAGAAGATGGTGGCCACAGCCAAACCCTGAATTTCCATCACTTGGCTTATTGTTTCAGTGGAATTCCTCGCAGGGATTCAGCCTCCCTCTGAACCAAATGTGGCTTTTTGTCACTTGGTTTGCTTTAAATGCTCCCCGTGCTGTTTGTGTCACTTGTCCAGCGCGGACCTTCCCATGAACCGTGCAGCTCCTTCTGCCCACAGCATTTTCTCACTCCTTTTGATGAGTTCCAGACCCTGGAAAAAGGAAAACCCCTGGGATCAGTAGTGCCAGGAGGGTGATTGATGTGTTTGTGACCTGTTCAGTGAGCTGGCAGCAGCGGGGCCTGTCCTCTGACCTTGGCACAGCACAACACCGTGTGCAGGGCACAGACACATCTGTCACTGCAAATGAACATTTGGTTTTGCTGTTCAGCTGAGCTGGCCTTAGACTTGGTCAGAAAAATACTGAAATGCAGTTCTGGTAGGAAGAACCAGAATAATCCTTTGGGAATGTGCTGTTCAAACACATCCGGGGTGAAAAAAAATATTAATAAAAGAGAATTCCTTCTGTTGTCACATTTCAAGCCAAGACTTGGGGGGAAAACATAATAAAAGCTTACGGGTCAGGGGTGGTTTGTTAAGGAATAAAGAGAGAAGTAGGGAAGATGGGATTTACTGGAGGGTGGAGGGGAGCCAAGGCCGTTCTGGGGTATGAAGTTCAGCGGGCTGAGACAGCACAGGGAAGGCAAGAGGGAAACAGAGGCAGGGAAATCAACAGGGAAATACTTTGGCCTAAAAGTCCATCACACGCGCTAATTAATGGGCACGAGAGCAGGAGGCTGCGTTCGGCCGAGCTCGGCTCGGTTCGGCTGAACTCGGAGCCGCGGGTGCGTTCGGCCGGGTTCGGCTCTGTTCGGAGCAACTCGGAGCCGCTCGCTGGGTACGGCCGAGCTCGTTCGGTTCGGCTGAACCCGGAACCGCAGGTGCGTTCGGCAGAGTTCGGCTCCGTTCGGGGAACCTCGCAGCCTCTCACTGCGTTCGGCCGGACTCGACTCGGTTCGGCCGGGATCGTAGCTGCTCACTGCGTTCGGCTAAGCTCGGCTCAGTTCGGCCCAAATCGGAGCCGCTCGCCGGAGTCGGACGAGCTCGCGTCGGCTCGGCTGAGCTCGGAGCCGCTGGCTCCGTTCGGCGCGGCTCGGCTCGGCTCGGCTCGGCTCGGCTCGGCTCGGCTCGGCTCGGCTCCCTGAGGCGGCGCGGGCCGGGCCGAGGCGCTGCCGGGCAAGCGGCGCCGCCTCACGCTGAACACGCCCAGCTCTGGGTTCTGCTGCTGCCGCGGCCCGGCCCTCGCACGGACACGGACGGGAGCGCGGGGTCAGGCCGGAGATCATTAGGCTGTGACTGCAGTCGCGCTAATCAATGGGCACGAGAGCATCAGCCAGGGTTCGGCCGAGCTCGGCTCGGTTCGGCCGGACTCGGAGCCGCTCGCTGTATTCGAAGCTCAGCTCGGTTCAGTTCGACCGACCTCGTAAAGTTCACTTTGATTCGGCCGATCTCGCGTTGGTTCGGCTTGTTTAGTTCGGTTCGGCTTGTTTAGTTCGGTTCGGCTGAACGCGGTTCCGTTCGGTTCCGTTCCGTTAACCTCGATTCGGCAAATCTCGGCCAGATTCGGCCCTTCGGGAACGCTCGTGCATTATCGTCTGCACTCGGCTATTGTCGGCCGCACTCGGCCGGACTCGGCTCTTCGGCCGGAGAGGAGCACTGCGGTGCAATGGCGGCCTGTGGCCGGAGCTCGCTGCGTAGCCTGAGCCCCGTGAGGGCGCAGAGGGCCGGAGCAGCCGCCCCGTCCGCCTCACCCGGTCCCTTGCGCACCGCAGCTCGCCCTGCAGCGCCCTGCGGCCGTTGCCCTGCCGTGCCGTGCCGTGCCGCGCCGTGCCGTGCCGGCGGCAGCTGTGCCCTGGCGCGGTGCCTGAGGTGAGGGCCGGAGCGCGGGACGCGTTCGTGCCGGACCTGCGGCTCTGGGATCTGCTCCGTGGGATGAAACCCCTGCCCGCCCCGGCTGCGGTGCCAGCGCTTTGTAGCGTGAGAAACAAAGTTCGCTCTTCGGAATTTTTAAAGGTTTGTTAAGGGATGAAGTGCGGCGCTGGCGTGCTTGGCTGTAAACCATGTTCTCTATAATCTGTTACGTTACAGGGGGTTCGTGCATATTCATGAGAGTTTATACGTATTCAGACAGTCGAGTTTAGATGTTCTTTTGCTTGGTTTTAACCTTTCACTTGTCTTCGTGCCACCTTGTGGATTATGCCAATATATTTTATTTCTTGCTGTGGTGCCATCCCGTTTTGTTTTCACTCCCTCGTTATTTGATAACGAGGGTCAGTAAATTCTTCTTTTTTTCGGTGCTCTGGTTTCTGTTTCAGTTGCCTTGTGTTTTAGATAAGACAGTCCCCGAATGTGGGAAATCGCCTAATTATTTCACACCATTTTCTGAGTTACTTACGTGTGAAAGCATTTTAACATTTTACAGTCTCCATTATGCTACAGTCTAAATAGTATCTATTACACTGCTGTGTATGAAAGGTGCATACATAAACTGGCAGATTATACTTTATCAAGAACAGTAATTACAGACTGTACTCTATCAGGATTTCTGTGGTCAGTAATAACTTGCCAGAGCTGATGCACAAATGCCAAAGGCAATAACTCTGTTTGTTGTTTATAATTCTGGGCTGGGCTGAGCTCTGTTTTCCGGGAGGCAGCGGGATGGGTGTCCCTGTGCCACCCCCATGGTCCCAGGGAGAAGCTGCTCCTGTGGCTGCAGCTGAGGGTCAGTGGGAAAACTGGAACAGTCCTGATGGAAACCAGTAGAAAAACTGGTTTTGCTGGGTTGTGGACTTGATGTTTTCCCCCTGATTCTGTGTGTTTTGCCTCAGGAAACAGGAACTGGGGACCAAGACGTTTTGTTACCTTAGAAGAGATGAGTTTATTTGATGTATTTCCTGACCCACCTGGAACGATTTGGGTCTCAGGAGGCACTTGAGAGCCAAAGTCAGCTTCTCTCAGGAGGAACTGAGAGGTCCTGAGGGATGAGGATACTGCAGCAGCTCCTCTCAGGAGGAGCTGAGAGGCCCTGAGGGATGAGGATACTGCAGCTGGAGTGCTGAGACTGCCGTGGCTGTTGTCTGCTCAGTCTCCTGGGGTCCCATGGCTCCCAGCTCTGGATACCCTCAAGGCAGGGGTGGTTTTTAAATGTTTTTCTGCAGCAGCTCCCTCCCTGCGTGAGAGCTGCCTCAGCCTGGCTGAGTGTGGGGATATCCAGCTCTTCCTTAGGGCTTGGAGCACGGCAGGGTGCAGAGCTCGTGGTCAATCCTGTTTAAACACTTTTAATATCAAAACACTTTAAAACAGAGACTTGGAGGAAACAACATGTGAAAGTCTGTTGCAAGCATGGGTACAAGCTGTCTTTATGAAAGATCCACATTGATGGGTGTCTTGTCAAAGCAGTCTGGGGCCAGAGTGTGTCCAAAAAGCTTCATTAACCCCTTGTGTTCTGCTGGCAGGGCAGTGTCTGACCCCAGCTCTGGGGGCTGTGTGGGGATTCCTCCCTGGAGCAGGGTCACCCCGTGAGGATGAGCCACGGAATCGCTGGAGCAGGTGAGCATCTCTTTCTGCTTGGGGATTGTTGTTGATGGTTTTAATGTCACTGCTTTCATGTCAGTGTTCATTCTGAGCACTGATCCTGCAGCTGGATACCTCGGCTAACAGGGATTAGAGTCAGCTCTTGGGCCCAGAACAGGTGCTGTCCCACAAAGAGCCCCTGAACTTGCTGAGATGGCACACAGGGGATGCACTGGACTTGGGGCTGATAGTTAGTGTTGCCAGGTGGTTACTGTGAGGTGGAACTGGAGCTTTGTTAGAAAAGCCATCGGGTGTAATGGAAATCCATGGAAAACAGGTGGTTGGTACACTAGCTGATGGTAGGCCTTGGGCTTTTCTTCTTCTTTTCTTTAACCTGTTCTTAAGAGATCCCCAAAACTGCAAAATTTAAAGTTGGGGCATGGGGGGAACGTGGGGGTGAAAGTTGCTTTTTGTTTTTTTAAGAATTGCTGTGCATTTTGGTATGTCAAGTGACACTACCAAAACAGAATTGGAATACCTGAACTTCAGGACTCTGCACTTAATTCTTTTAATGTGTTTGTGTGGGTGCAGGAGATGCCAAATCCCAAAGCAATTCTACGTCTGTGACTTCAAGTGCAACATCTTTAAATCTCAGTGTGGGCTTTTCACATGGATGCAAATGGTCTAAAGGCCTTTCTTGTGTCCCAAAAGCAAAAATCCTTTCTCTGTGGGGTTTTGGAGGGGTTTCTCTTTGGGATTTCTTGTGATGCAGCATCCCGGGTGTCCCTTCCTTTGTGCAGAGTCCAGTGGTAAGGGATTGAATGACTGACAGCTGGGGTCTGGGATGAAAATGGTTCTGTTAAAATTAGGCAAAGACTGCAGTAAGAAAAATGAGCATCCTTTTAATGTCTGAAATAGTTAGGAATAAAAATGCTGGGGAGGGGCACTTTTATGTTTGTTTGGTGTCACCTCTCATGGATAAAACCCCGTAGCGAGCAATCAGAGCAGAAATATGAAAGCTGGGATCCTTTGACTTCTGCAGTGGACTTAATTGTCTTTTCCTCCTCTCTTTCAGGACAGGAAAATTCATCAAACTCCTCCCATCTTTGCCAAAAGCTTTGGTGTCTAAGCAGCCAAAGCCAAGAAGCTTCAGCACCAGGGGTCTGCGCTGGAGGGCTCCTGGTCCTGCCCACGCTGTGGGGTAAGTCAGGGGGACACAGCCTTCCTCTTTTCCTCTCTGTGGGAATAACTGCCTAGGGAATGCCCTTTCTGACAGCCCAGCCCTAGCCGTGCCTGCTGGAAGAGGGCAGAGGTGAAGAGGCAAATGCCAGAGCTCCCTGGGATGATGGAGCTGTGGTGTTTGGCTGTGTCCAGAGGGGCAGGCTGGGCATTGTTTGTGCACCTCAGGACTGCTCTGGGCATTCAGGAGCTCTCGGTGTATTCCCAGCTCTGCCAGGGGAGCAGCTCCTGCAGGGCTGGGTTGGGCACAGAGACAGGGGGAGGGCTGGGAGGATTTGGGAGCAGTGGGAGGAAATGAGGGATGGTGCTGGGCAGTGATCAGCCTGTGCTCGTGTCATCACAGCCACGCAGGGCACTGGGATCTGGGAGCAGCTCCGGCTCTCCTGGTGCTCAGGGATGCAGGGTCTGAGGGACTGCGTTTATCTGAGGCTGCCCAGGTCAGCAGGAACAAGGGGGAATGTGGGGCCAGAGCTGTGTCCCATCAGGCTGTGCTGCCCTCTGAGCACAGAGAGTCTCTGGGCTGAGGAGATGAGTTTCCTGCAAGTGCTTAGATGAGCAACCCAGGGAAAACGGAGTTCAGGAATTGCATCCACTGCTGGAAACATTGCCTTAGGTCTGCTTAGTTTGTGTCTGTGAGAAGTGGGATTTGGGCTGGAGAGGTGCTGTTGGGAACAAAAGATGGAGTAAATCCTCTCCAGGGATGTGCAGTGAAGGACTGAGTGGGAGGGAAGGGGAGTATTTATAAATGATATCAATATTTCTCCAAAGATTGGGGTGGAGCAGTGATGGGGTGGTTGGGTTTGGCCTGGGCCTTCTTACTCCTTAAGCAGTAAATTCTTTTAAATTCTGTTGTATGATTTACTGTCAAGTATCTTTCTAACAAAAACTGACAGAAATTTAGGTCAAGGATTAGAACTTAGGTCCATTCAGTGCAAGATCTTGCCAAGGCCTGGGGTGGTTACTGCTCTCACACAGGTTACTTGTTAATCCTGTGTCAGATGTCCCTCAGTGCTGGGCAGGAAGGATGAGGGTTTGGATCAGGAGTTGTGCAAACAAGGCCTGTGTGATGGTCACTTATTGTGCTTTTCAGGGAGCCAGGGCTGGCACAAGGGCTTGTGCAGGTCCTGGTCTGGCACTGGAGCTGCTGCCCTTTGGAGCCTTTGTAAAGGTAGCAGTAAAGAGCATTTTGGGGACTGTTTTCAGAATTTTGAGTTTTAGAATTCCTGTCCCCAGCCTGTTGCTAACCCTGTTGATCTGCTCTGGTTCCAGGCTGTCTGTGCTGGAGCACCCTGGTCCCTGCCGTGTCCAACGCCTGAGACACAGAGAGCCCTGTCCAAAGTGGCCTTTGTCACCTTGTCAGGAATTTGGCAGCAGCCCCAGGAGCAGGCTGGAGGTGAGAACAGGGTGCTGGGAACTGAGGAGTGTTTATCTGGGGTGGGGGGAGGAGTTGGCCCCAGGTGCTGAGTTGAAGCAGGATCAGGGTGACAGAGGCTGTGTTTTGTGCACCCTGAGAGTTTCCATCCCCTCTGGGGATTCCCTGCTGATGGAATGAGGCAGCACAGGGAGCAGAATGAAGTGTGCACCTCCTGTGGGCATTGCTGGCCTTTGTGTCTCTGTTGTGCCATCAGAGTGTGGCAGTTTGCTGCTGTCACTGCCACCCCACCTGGGGGCTGTGTCCTCCTGGCAGCCCTTGCCAGCCCCAACACGAGCTCCAGGGGTGCCTGTGTGCCACGCTGGCAGCGTTTGCTGGGAATGTGCCTCATCCCTGGGAGGGTCCTTTTGTCCCTGGGCTGCTGGCAGAGCTTTGGGCGCGCCAGCCTCCGAGTTTGGTGGCAGCAGTCCCTGAAGGGAAAGGGGCAGGAGGATGTGAGAGTGGGGCTGTCAGAGCCCTGTCTGCACTGTGTGCTGGGGGTGGATTTGCACTGTAGGGAGTCAGGGTCCCCTTCCCAAATCAGCCCAACAGCTCCCGAGGGCTCTCAGAGAAATAATTTATTCTTTACTTCCCTTTGTGGTAATTTAATCTCCACCCTGCTCTTGAGGCAATCCTCCCATATGAGAACACAAGGCTTGACTCCATTTTTCTCAGAAGGCTGATTTATTATGTTATAGAATATATTAAAATACTACATGAAAAATATACTAAAAGACAAGAGAGAGAGGAAGGATCAGAAGGCTACAAAGAACAAGAATAGAATAGAATAGAATGCATAACAAAAACCTGTGACTGCTCACAGCCTTGGCCCAGGTGGCTGTGATTGGTCACTAACTGAAAACAATCCACATGGACCAATGGAAGATGCACCTGTTGCATTCCACACCAGCAGAGAGTTATTGTTCACATTGCTTTCCTGAGGCTCTCAGCTCCTCAGGACAGGAAGAATCCTAGCAGAGGATTTTTCATAAAATATCATGGCTACACCCTGCCATGAGCAATTCCTTGATTCCTCTAGGAGAAAACCTCACAGCAGAGGCAGTTTGCAATGGAGGCCAGAGTTGTGTTTGGAGCAGAGAATGCTGAGAGCTGCATCTGCCTGTGCTGCCACAGCCTGACAACAGCCACATGGAACAGCCTGGGAAAAGGGGACAGGGGGAATTTCTGATTCCCCAGGGAGAAGAACACGAACTCACAGCCATTGGGGCCTGACAGTCCCCTCCAGCAAGAGCTCAGCACACATCCACAGAAGTAAGTCCAGCATCTGAAACAGAAGAAAAGAGAAGAAAAAGGTGATTTATTTTGCTTCAAAGTCATTTCAAGTCCTTAAAGCCCAACCAACATTTGCTCTTGATTTTGGTTGGGTGAATCATGAGCAGTAGATTATGGCATTCATTTAGCTGAAAACCTGGTGTACTTTAGAGGGGACACAAGAACTGTTTGTGTAGGAAAGTGTGAGGGGATGCTAGGGGGGTGAGGTGGCATTTTTGAGGGAATTGCTGAGGTCATTGCTCACTGTGTCCTCCTTCCTTGGCAGCAGGGAAGGGAGAAGAGGATCCCTGTGGGATGAGACTGGAGAGAGCGAGCAGAGGAGCGGCCTCGAGCTGGAGAAAGGCAAAGGGACCACGGTGCTGTCACCAGGGCACCTGTGAGGGACAGAACAGACACTTGGAGGTCACACAGAGGTGAGGAGTGGATGGTTTGGGGCAAAATCTGAGTTTATCTGCAGTGAAACAAGCAGGGGATATTTAGGAGGGAAACGCTGAGGCGATGAGTTCACTCACCCTGGCACAAGTTGTGTTGGCACAGACTGGGGCCAGAGGTGAAGGTCAAGCCAAAGCCAACCCTGCTCAACCTCTAAATCCCATGATCAGTTTTACAGACTGCACACTGAGGGATTGAAAATACATCACAAATATTAGCCAAGAGCATTAATGATTCCTGGGAATCCCATTACTGTGTTGCCATGGAACTCTTAACACAGTTTTGAGCTTTTGATGACATAATGCATTTTTTAATTTGGATTATTCACGGAGTGGGACATGGGGCTTATTTGGATTTCAAAGCTCTCATGGTGGCCCTGACACTGCTTAGGAGCTGGTAGGCAAAGCAGAGTCAGAACTCCTGGCAGGCACAGGGTGTTTTCCCCCATAGTGGATTGCAGAGGAATTGTCTGGGACCTGGATTGTCCCTCTGGGTGACACCGCTTGCTGTGATTTGTATAATTCCATAGCTTTAATTCCCAAAACTTCCCAGCCCAGGGGTTTGAGCTGACAGGGCAGGACAAAGATGGTTCTCTGTGTGGTGCCCAGATTTGGGGTTCTCTTTCAGCTTTGCTAGTTCTGATGAATTACATCCATAGCCCCAAATTCCCTGCTCCATTCCTACTGTAGTAACCGCACAGTGCCTCATGGAGTGTGGATATTCCCATGCAGAGCTGCTGCCTCGAGCACCAGCTGTGTCAGGAAGCAGCAGAGCTTCCCAGGAAGCTGAGCAGCACTGGGACAAGGACAGGTTTACGTTCCATAGAGCTGGCTGTTTATAACCCTGACCCCAGTGATGTCCCTAGGATCACTTGACAGAGCTGATGGAACTGAGCTGATGTTCACTCCCCTGGGCTCAGGCTCCAGCTGATGTTCCAAAGCAGGAGGAGGCAGTGGCTGGATGAGCTGGGGCAGCCCCTGTGCCCAGCCGGGGACAGCTCTCCCTGCAGGAGCTCAGCTCCTTTCACAGCCTCAGCAGTGGCCTCCACAAGTTCTTTTCCCTCAGGAAAGAGATCCACGTCCCTGTCTTCAGTGCACCTCCAGTGGGACCCATCTGTGAAAGCTTTCCACCACTTCTGCACCTGCACTTCAGCTGAAAAACTCCAAACGTCATCCCACTCCATCCTCTGATTTTCAGGTATCTCTGAGGGCTATTGCTTGGAATTTAATATCTGTGGGGGAAGATTGCCTTGGCTTTAATGCTGCTGATAGAGAATGGCCCCAGGCTGGAAAGGAGGAAAGGGATTTGGGGTGGCTGGGACATACCTGGCAGCTGTGTGGGAGCTCTAAACCAGGAACTGCTGTCTGAGCCTCTCTGCACACGGCCTGTGCCTCCATTCCCAGGTAATGCCAGCTGCTCCTTGGGGTCCTTCTGGGCTGCAGCATCTCCGTGTGCCTGGCAGAGCAGCCACGGTGCAGGCAGTGCCCTGCAGATCCCAAGGACAAGAGGTGCTGCTGCCTTTGGGGGCTTCTGGCCTCCCCCTGCCCTGAGGGAACACCAAGGAACACTGCTGGCAGTGAGCAGGAGACGCCCAGGCCTCTGGGCTAGAAAATCAGCCCTGGCCTCAGCAGCCTCCATCGTTTTGGCCTGGCAGCACTCACCTGCAGGAAATGCTCTCTGCCATTCTCCAGAAGAACTTCAGCCATGGAACAGGGTAACCCTCAGGACTTGATTGTTTCTCCCTGCAAAGGGACGTGGCATGAGCACATTTACAGCTGGGTGAATCCTGGAAAGGACAGAAGGATCAGGGTTATGGGGAAGAGTGTGGTGCTGTCATGTCAGGTGCCAGCAGTTCTGCCTGCAGCCATTGCAGGGGCTGGCGTGTAAAGCAGTGTTAGCAGAAGGGAAGGAGCTGCATTTCTTTAGGAGTTCTCTTACTGGCAGCAGTCATTCATCATGATCCTGGGATTGGCTCAGGTGCTTGCAGCAGGCTGCTGAGAAGGCCAAAATTCTGTGTTCCACGTGCAGCTGGGCCAGTCATTTCTCAGTGATGATCCTTATGGCTCTGGAAATAAAGAATAAATAGTTTTCACTGGCTTTTCCACACGAGGGGTTTTTCCATTGGAGACTGCAAGGCACAGGGAAAGAGGGGAGAGGAAGGAGAGCATCAGGTCTGAGCTGGCAAGTGTTGGACGGGCGGGCAGAGCAGGGGCGAGCCCTGGCAGGGCTCCAGTCCCACACCGGGCACAGCTGGAGAGGGAGCAGCCCCAGCAGCCATCCCGAGCGGCTGCTCCAGCGGCGGCCCCGCTCGTTCGGCGGGGACCCCCGGGCCGCGGTGGCCGCAGTGTCGGTGCCGGTGGGGTCCGGGCCCGGCACGGGCGCTCTCCGTGTCCTGCTCGCTTCCAGCCGCGATCCAGCAGATTCCAGTCTGCTCCAGGGAGTCGCTGTGCTGCTGGTGGGCCCGGCACCGGCACAGCCCCAGCCGGAGCACGCAGGAGCCCCAGCGGGACCCCAGCCCCGATCCCAACACCCGCACCCTGCCCGCCGAGGAGGAAGCGGCTCCGCCCGGCCCCCCCCCAGCCGGCACCGGCAGGAGCAGGACCCGAACCCCCGGACCCTGATCCCAGCCCCACCTGAGCGCCTTGGACGCCGCGCAGTGCCGGGAGCAGCCCCGATCCGGATCTCCGAGCGGCGGTCCCTCGGTATCCCGTGCTGAGCATCCCCCGCAGGAACCGGGACGGGCCCGCTCCGCCGGGATTTATGGCCGGGGGGGCGGGGCCGGGGCCGCAGCGCGCCTGCGCGGGGCGGGGCCTTGGGGTATTTAAGGCGCAGTGAGGGCCCGGCGGAGCCATTTGCTCCTCGGCGCTCGGTGGTGGAGGCTGCACCGCCCGGACTCTATATCTCTTTTTCTCTACATTTCTTTTCCTCTACGTTTATTTTCTGTTGTATTTCTTCTTTTCTATACCTCTCATTTCCACCCTCCCTTCCTCCCCTCCCCTACACCCTACCCCCCCCTCCCCCCCTGGGCGGTTCCCCCTACCCGTCCCCCCCATCCCGCTTTTCTATTCCCCTGCTCACCTCAACCCTACCCTATTCCTCGATCATTCTCTCCCCAACCGGGCTTCCTCCCCCCCCCTCCCCAGACTCTCCCCACCTGCCCTCAATCCTGATCATTCATCCACTCTTCCTTCCCCTCTCCACCCCGGCTCCACCTGCCCCCTTTCCATGATACCTTCCCCCCCACACCTCCCACCTCCTTCCCCTCAGCCTGCCGTCAATCCATCCTTTCCTTCCTCCACCCTGCCTTCACCCGGCCCCCTCCCCTGCTGCCCTGCACACCCCGACCTCTTCCCCACCTGCCCTGTACGTGTTGCCCTTCCCTCCGCTACCCCATTCCCATTCTCCATCCTCTGCTCTCGGGGGCGCGGCGGAGAGGGGGTCCCTCCCCCTCCAGGCCTCGCCCTCTCTCCGGATGGGGCCCGCCCGGATCCCGGCCCGGGATCCCCACCTCCGGACGGGGCCCGGGGGAGGGAGGGGGGCGGGTGGGATGGCAGATGGGGTCACGTCACTCTGTCGCGCGAATAAACACTAAAAAAGAATCGATACTAAAAAAAACGCCAAATACACGAACGGCTCCCCATGCCCTGCCCTCCCCACCCCGTCCGGAGGAGGGGTCCGGGGAGAGGGCGAGGCCTGGAGGGGGAGGGACCCCCTCTCCCCCCGGACCCCCTCCTCAGGAGGGGGCCCGCCCTGACCCACCCACACCCCCTGCCCCCCGACCCCCATAGTGTGATGTTGGGGAAGCCGAACCCCGGCAGTGTCGGGCGGTGTGTTGGACCGGAATGGGGGGACCCGCAGAGCGGGTCCGGCCCCGTGTGGGGACCCCAGCGGGGGGCGCCGGGCTCCGGCCCTCTGGGCTTTATTATTGCCCGGCGCCCCGAGCCCCGCGGCTGCGGGGAAAGGAGAGAGGAGAACGGGGAGACAGGAGAGATGTGGGGGGGAAGGACGGGAAAGGAGAGGGGTCGGAGTGAGGAGGGAAGCGGGAGAGTAAGGGAAAGGCTGGGGGGTGAAGAGGGACGGTGGAGAGGGGGGGAATAGAAGGGAGTAGCGGGGAAGGGACAGGACAGGAAGGACCGTGGGGGGGTCGGCTTTGGGGGGAGAGGAACGGAGAGTTTGAGGGTGAGAGGGAAAGGGCGGAAAGAAAGGGAATACGCGGGGAATGAAGGAGGGGTAGAGAGAGCGACAGGAGGGGAGGCAGAAGCCTCCGCGCCTCACCTACGGAGCCCGCACACAGAGCTCCTGCCCGCACCGCGCTCCGAGGGAGCAAATGGCCGACGCGGCGATTACCGGGGCCTAAATCACCTCGGCCCCGCCCCGCGCAGGCGCCCTGGGGCCCCGCGCACCTGAGCCGGGCCCGCCCTGCGCACCTGAGCAGGCCCCGAGCCCCGCCCCCGCACCGCCCGGACACGCCCCTGGTACATGTCGGCCCCGCCCCCTGTGTCACCCCGCCCACCTACAGGCCCCCGCCTCGCGGCCCCGCCCCTCGCAGCGGCGCCGGGGGCTCTGAGGGCTCCGGGGCGGCTCCGGGAACGGCACCGGGGCTCCGGCTCAGGTCCGGCGGTATCTGCTGCGGGCCCCCACCGGGGCCATGGCCCGAGCCTCCCCGGGCCGTGGGGATAGAAGCTGCCGCGGGCCGGGCAGGGAGCTCCGGGGACGGGGGGAAGCGGGGCAGCCCCGTCCCGGTGCTCGGCCGGCGCGGGCCGGGCAGTGCCGGCCTCGGGAGCTCCCGCGGCTCCGGGCGAGTCCCGGAGGCCGCACGGGCTGGGGAGGGCAGCGGCCGCTGCCGCCCGAGGCTTTCCCCGGGGAGAGCTGGGAGCAGGGGCGGATGCCTCTGGCACAGGCTCGGGAACGGGCGGGAGGCTCCTCGTGGAGGAGGTTCTGGGGGTCGGGCATGGCGGCCCTAGAGCAGGGCGGGCTGTGAGGGAGGGATGTTCCCCTGGAAGCGGTGTACCCGGCTGGGCTGTGTTCCCGGCGCGGGGGTGAGGTGTTGCAGCTGAAATAAACGTCAGTGATTCCCCACATCCCCCAGTGCTGCCCCACAGAGACAGCGCACGGGACCCCCGCACACGGAGAGTGCCTCCATCCCAGGTCCCAAGCACTTCCCATAAACTGGATACGGGGTAGGGAGTGGGCAACACCTTCCAGCTGCCCACTGCTACTTCACACACTGGGTCACAAACAGAGGTGCAGTGCTGGCTCTGAACTGCCAAATGGCATGGTTTGGGTGCTTGGAACAGGCTGAGGGGCTTGGAGCTCAGAAAGGGACCAAGTCCTGCATTTTCCACAGTTGAAACCAGAGACTAAATCCAGTGGGTTTAGGTCTAAAGGCAAAAACTAAATCTTACGTTTTCACCTTTTGAGAACAGAGACTAAATGTTGCATTTTTGGGCCTTGAAACCAAACTCTGGGGGTTGAGCTTGGGTCCCAAAAGCACAGCCCAATGTTTGTGAAGCTCAGAAAAAGTGAAGCAAGTCCTGCATTGTCTTTTCTTGAAAATGCAGGTTTAGTCCAGTGTTTCTGGGACTCAGAAAAATGACCAAGTGCCACTTCCCAGAGACCTGGGCACAGCAGCTCAGCGGGCTGTTCCCAGCCCCCAGACAGAGGCTGGGGAGGGCTTCTGGGGGGAGGGCTGGGGATGAGGACCCTCTCTGGAGGAGGGGCTCCGGCCACCTTGGTCCCCAAAGGCAGGGACGCCAGCACGCCCCAGGCTGGTTCAAGGGTCTGAGATAGGAAAGAAAATCACTTTTCAACCCGTTTTCCACGTCCAACCGTTTATTGTGTACAACCACTACATCAGTTATGACTTCTATTTAGACAATAACAGTTAATAGTTACGTGCAATTGATGACAGTGAGTCATTTACAACTTGGCCAAAATCCCAGGTAACTGCAATTAGCTGGAATTTTAAACTGGCTAGTAACAAAAACCAGCAGTTATTAAAACAGAGCTGGAAGGAACTGGAGCAGCCATCAAGTGGAGCATCTCAGTTCCAGAGCTGGACGGAAGAACACAGCACAGCCAGAGCTGGAGGTTCAGCAAGCTGGACTGGGTAACAGCTGCAATGGAACAAGCAGAGGGAACAGACATCACCTGGGTCCTCAAATATCCTGAGCAGTGTCAGCAGGGGTCCTCCAGCAGGAGCTGTTGGCACCAGGAACAGCTCTTGTCCAGCATCCATCAGCTGGAGCTGTAACAGGCACGGGTGTTCCTGAGGGAGAGCTGAGCTCACCTGCAGCTGCAGCACCAACGTCTTGTGGCTGGATCCCAAATTAGGGCAGCCGGGATTCCCGGGCAGGCGCAGGCGTGGATGTCCCTGACCAGGAGCTGTGAGCAGCGGGAAGCCCAGGCTGTTCCCTCGGGAGTGCAGCCAGGCCAGGTGCTGCTCTCTGCAGGGAGGTGGCTCCCAGTTCCATCCCAGAGCAGGAGCGAGCCAGGAGCTCTCCTGGGGACGAGGTGCAGCAGCGTCTCCTCTGTCTCTGCAGGGAGGGGCTCAGTCAGCATCCCCAGGGTGCACAGCACAGCCCCACACAACCCACAGGAGATGCCTGTCCCCCTCCCAGGCAGGGGCAGCCCTTCCCTCCCTGCTGCTCCCTGCTTTGGGCACAGACTGCGCACTGAGGACACGGAGGGAGAAATCTCAATGGGAGAGCTCAGGGCACAGCTCGAATAATGCACATTTCTGCCCAGAAAGCACAGGAAGAGGCACAGGTTGCTGCAAGCCCTCTGCTCAGTGAGGGGCACTGTGGGAACCTCAGCCACCAAACAACAGGGGGCTGAGGGGGGGCTGTGCCCACACAGGGCCTGGCCCATGGCCTTGCCCTGCTCCCCTCAGCCTGCCCTGCTCCCCTCAGCCTGCCCCCTCAGGCTGTGCTGCACATCCTGATAAACACCTCTGAGCCAGGCACAACCCTGCCCCAGCCTGAACACACCACAGGGCACGCTCATCCAGCAATGCTGAGCCAGGCCCAGCACTAAGAAGAAAATGACAGAGGCTACAAAGGGCCCAGAACAACCAGAAGGCCCCGGGAGGGGGAGCAGGGCAGGATTGTCCCCGCTGTCTGTGACCAGAAGCCAAACCAGCAGCAGCACAGGGTGGCTGCTGATGCTGTGGGGAGAAGCCACCCTCGGGCAGCTGTGCTGCAGCCCCTGCTCTCAGCTCCCCTCACAGCCACAGCTCCCACACACGTCAGGCACAGCTGAATCCCACCCCCAGGTCCTGTCCTGGCTCCCTGCAGCCAATGCAGCCCCAAACCACACCACAACAGGACAGAAACCACAAGCACAACCACTTTCTTCCCAAGGAACAGCCAAGCGCCATGCAGAGGCAGGGCACAGCCACAACCCTGGCCCTGCTGCAGCCTGCTGCCAGCCCAAAGTGGCCCAAGCAGGGCCAGCACAACCAGCACAGCACGTTCTCCTCAGCCACAGCCCGGCACAACTTCCTCAGGTCGTGTGCACTGGGGCATTCCATCCTTCCTGCCAGATCCTGCAACCTTCCCCACAGCTGCCCGGGTCAGAGCACTCACCTGGCCTCACCCTCCCGTGCCAGCCTCTCCTGGTGCCACGCTGGGGCCGTGCTCCTCACCGGGGCTCATCCTCCCGTGCCAGCGTGCCCAGGGCAGCTGCTGTTGGGGCCGTGTGCCAGGCTGAGCCCCTCGGCCGGTCCCCTGCGCTGTTCCCTGCACGGAGACAGTCCCTGGTGAGGAAGAGGCTGCAGCTTTGCCTCTGGGAAGACAAAGCTCTTGCCCCAGCAGGAGCTCCCAGTGCACACCACAGGTCCCTGCAGGCAGCAAAACGCAGTGCTGAAAACAAAAGCTGCCTTGAAGGACTGCAGCCCACCCTGTGGCCCTGACCTGTACCTTTTCTCACAGTGCTGCAGGGGCCAGGGCACCCCCCTGAGCCCCCGGCAGCTGCAGCTTTCCAGGCACACAGGAGCCCGCGGTGTCCCTCAGAAGCTTCTCCTGGGCAGGCCGGGCCCAGGGCTGGTGCAGAGGCTTTGCCTCCTCTCCCTCCTGTGCCGTGGCCTCAGGCCCCACCTGCCCCTTCCAGCCTGGGAGCGGGGAGCGAGCCGTGCCGAGCCGGGCTGCCCAGGCAGGGCCTCTGCACAGGGCACAGCTGCCCTGGAGACAGGGACGGTCAGGAAGCCCTTCCCCAGGCGTACCGAATTTCACGGGAATCACGCGGCGGCTGCGACTGCCCCATCCTCTGCGAGACCCCAGCCGGGGGAGGCCCATTCAGGGCAGCAGCGCCGGGCTGCACAGCTTCTCTGCAGCCGGATTCCTGCCGATGTGTTTGGAGAACTCTTGCGTAGGTTGGCAGTTCCACGGCACCTCCTGGCTCCCTTCTCTCCCACGTCACGCTTTCCCGCGGCTGGGAAGCGCAGCCCGGTTCAGCCCCGAGCTGGGAGAGCCCGCACTGCCCCGGGCCGAGCTCCGCAGCGCCCCGTCCTCGCCGCACGCACCCAAAGCTCTCCGCAAGCGCACGCTGCAGCCGGGAACGGCCGGGGGGCCCCGGCAGCTCTGCCGGCAACCAGCACCGAGCACACGGCCGGGCAGCGTCCGGCTCCCCGCTGAGCCCAGTGACCGTGCCCGTCTCTCCCGAGACCCCGCCAGGGCCACGCCGCCCCCCCGGAAAAGGCCGCGGGGCGCTCACGGCGCATGCGCCGGGCGGGGCCCCTCCCCGCGGCGCCCCCTGCAGGACGCACGGCGGTACTGCGGGAGCGCCCCCTGCCGGAGCGCAGCGCCGCTCGCTGCCCCCGGCCCTGTGTCCCTGTAGGGCCCTGCCCGCTCCCGAACCGGACCCGTGTCACCCGGGCTTGGTCCCTGATCATTCCCGCTGAGAAGCGATCCCAGCTCTTCCCCGGTCCCGAACGGCCGCTGCTGCCAGAGGCCCGGCGTGGAGAGGGGGCAGCCGGGTCGCGTTTCACACGAGACCAGTTCGTGGTTCGATGGCTAACAAACCATCCCTGACCCGTAACCTTTGTTTTCAGTCAGATTCGGCTCGGTTCGCCTCAATTCGTCTGGGTTCGGCCCAGCTCGGCTCGGGTCGGCTGAACTCGGAGCCGCTGTCTCCGTTCGGCCCAGCTCGGTTCCATTCGGCTGACCTCGGCTCGGTTCGGCTGAACTCGGAGCCGCTGTCTCCGTTCGGCCCAGCTCGGCTCGATTTGGCGCAGCTCGGCTGAACTCGGAGCCGCTGTCTCCGTTCAGCCCAGCTCGGCTCGGTTCGGCTGAACTCGGAGCCGCTGTCTCCGTTCGGCCCAGCTCGGCTCGATTTGGCGCAGCTCGGCTCCCTGGGGTCGGGCAGGAGCTCATTAGGCTGTGACTGCAGTCACACCAATCAATGGGCACGAGAGCAGCAGCCTCACCGCCACGCCCCGGGTGAGGGAGCTTGACCACAGCACGTCTGGGAACACAAGGATGGACTCCTCCCCTAAACTCCCAGAATGGGGATCACCCAGGGACCTGCACTGCAGAAACTGCAACAGGAATGAAAGCAATCCTCAAGCGAACACTAACAAACCTAGAAATACAAGCAAACAGACAAACCCAACCCAAAATTACAAAACGCTGGAGGGAAACCCAAACGTCCCGGCAGGCACAGACCAAAGTGACAGTCAGAGTTTCCCTCACCACAGCCTGGGCTGTGATAGCTTCCCCAGACTCACAGGGAGGGCGGTGTGCCAGGGCTGCCTGCAAGGAACCTTCTGCAGCGGGCACCAGGAGAGAGGGGCAGGCAGGGCACCTGGCATCGTGCAGATGTGGGAAGCCAGGCCACAGCAGGGAACTGTGCAAACCTTCTTCCTGGAGGATCAAAGGCACTCTGGAAAAAATGGAGGTAATCCAGAGCAATCCATTCCTCCAGGAGATAAGGAGGAGTGGGCACCCACCCGGGAAATGGGGAGCCAGTGGGAAGTCTGTGTGTCAGCTCCTGCCTCGGTCACGGGAGGGAGCGGGGTTTGTCCCGGACGTGGCCATGTCACAGACAGAGGTACAAACTTGGCTGCCAAAGCCCTGCTGTCCACGGCGTACTGCAGCAACTGAGAGTGGAAGCTCAGAGCCAAAGGGAACACGTCTCCTTGAGCTGTGTGGAGGACTGTGTGCCCTGCATATCTCCAGGAAGGGCACAGCCACCCACCAGCTGCCCGAGCACTCGCGGCTCTCTCGGACAGCTTCCCAGCCAGCGCAGCAGAAAGGAACTCGCATGGCTGTGCCAGGGGCTGTATGTGCATCTCCACAGCCTGGAAAGAAATCAGGAACAGGAGAGAACACATCACAATTCCAGCCTCTCAAAAACACAGGAGGACACTCAGTCACGTGATTGAGGGACGGCCACTTAGTCCTGGAGGGTGCAAGTGCTTTAATTCCAGCTGTGCAGATTTAGTATTACATGTAGCAGACACCTGGGTGTTTCTCCCTGGCTCAGCCTCCAAGTCCAGCTGGAAGCAGGGTCCCATCCCTGCCTCGGGTAAGGAGGCCTGTGCCCGGGCATCAGCTGGAACATCAGCCTCCTCACTGCTCACCACAAAGCAAAAATCCACCCCTCTAATGACAGCTGCAGTGGACCAGTTGGGGTTGATGGATGTGGTGCTGAGGGATATTATAAACTTGTTGGCAAGAAACTAGCATTGATGTTAAAAAAACCTCAGTATGAAATTGGACACGATTACCTGAAACTGGGGTGGTTCTACCATCTTGCCACGGTGGTGTGTTGCACCCAGTCACAAGAAATCTGTTTCTCCGACCGTTCTCTGAGGCAGGCAGCCCCTAAAATCTCTGGCAGTCAGAAAGCACAGGCTGGGAAGGAGCTGCCAGGGCCCGGTGGCCCTGTGCAGTGTCTGTTTCCCCCTCTCCCAGAGTGCCGGAGAGATGAGAAGCATCTCCTGGCCGGGCGTGCCGTAAGCCGTCAGCCAGGTCTGCATCAGCTCCCAAGCTCTGAAAACACAAAGGTGCTGTGACCGAGAGCTCCCTGGCTGACTCGGGTCCGAGCTTTCTGTCAGCGCCCGGAGCGCGGCAGGACCGTCCCGCTGCCCACGCGAGCCCTGCGCACGCCGGGCCGGGCAGCCGCCGTGCCGAGCGCTCCCTGTGCCGTGCAGCCCGCTTCGCGTGTCCGCTCCCGACTCCTTTCCTTCCATGCTGGCTCCCTTCCTGCGCTGCCGGCTCCTTTCTTTCGCTGCCTACTCCCGTCCTTCGCTCCCGTTTTTCGTTGCCGGCTCCAGTCCTTCGCTCCCTGCTCCCGTTCTTCGCTGCCGGTTCTCGTCCTTTGCTACCGGCTCCCTTTCCTTCCTCGCCGGCTCCCTTCCTTCGCTGCCGGCTCCCGTTCTGTCCTGCCGGCTCCCTTCCTTGGCTCCCCTCTCCCTCCCTTCCCCGCCGGCTCGCTGTCGCGCCCTGTGCCCGCTGGGAGGGGCCCGCGGCTGCGGCGCGCCCTCCCGCCCCAAGTGCCACCGCTCCGAGACGCCCCGGCTGGGGCGGGCTCTGCTGCTGTTAAACCCGGGGCTCTGCCGCTTCACCTCGGTGATGCCAAGTTTCGGTGATGAGGTCGGGTTGCCACGTACGAGGCGGCAAAAACTTTCCCTGCTCCAAACTCTCTCTGCAAGCTCTGCAGCGTCAGGAGTGTCGGCTTTGTCACCCGTTCAACACCCGGCAAAGCCACAGACCTCGCTCCCCTCTGCAGCGTCCGCCGAGGGACACCCCGAAGGAAACAGCCCTGAGGATGAAATGCCCGTGCCTGCACACGAAGAATCGGTCTCTGCACAGGACACCAGTGCAGCCAAGGGAGGGAAGGCAGTACTGCTGGCTGAGCAGATTTGAGACAGCCAGAGCTGTCAAGCAGCAACGCAAGTCTCACTGTGTGTGCTAGAAATCTTTCAGTGCTACATGCACACTGAACCAGCCTACTTGTCATGTTTCTTCTAGTGAAGCATTAGCATTAGTGTCAAAGCTTGTTAATGCGATACAGACATTATCCAGTGAATACATATATTCCCAGCTCAGTTTGGGTGTGCTGCTATACTGAATAACGTGGGAGGGAACCCTGGCTGTCACTTCTCCTTATGCTGCTGTTAAACATGATCACTGCAGGGCCTGGGCTGGCCTACCTTGCTAGGAGAACTCTGGGGGGAATGACAGAATGTTTAAAGTAATGAAATATTGCCACTGCAATATTATTTCCAAGTATCTATTTCTGACACGTTTGTTGGGGTAATTACTCTGGGTAGTATTTTTTACTTCAGGCAGTAAGTTAGGTGTATCAGCTTCATCCTGAGCAGGTGTCAGCAAGTTCCCAGAAGGAATGTTCGCTTCCATCCAACCCACTATAGAGGCCAGCAGCAGCAGTGCTGGTGCACATCTGAAAGGAAGCACACTTTTACTCAGACTGCTTTGTGAAATTTTTGTTGAGAGGTTTCTGCACACCTTCTTGTGACATGTTGAATTTAGAGATGAGCTGATAACAACAGGAACACTGTTCTGTCATCACTGTCTGAGTTTTTGAAGATTTCAAACACCTGCATATTAAGTCCTAAAATTCTGACCATTACTTATGACCTGGGTAACACCACATCAATTTCTTTAAGGAAGCCCATGGTGCACAGATGCTGCAGACCCCCTTCAGGCACTGATGAAATATCCAGGTCCCCTTCTTCCCTCAACACTTTGGCAGCACTGCATTTATTCCAAGTGCTGTACCCTCACATCAGGATTTATTTGGATATTCTACAAATATATGTACATAAACAGCTTTTATGTTAGCTACATATCCTCCAATGAAACTCTCCATCAGGAATCACATTCTCTTAAGTTGGCTCTGCTAAGATAATGAAGCTAAATTCAGATGGCCTGGGGCAAACCCTTTGGCAGATACGTATTTTCATTCCTGTGGTCCAAATGAGAATCTTTTCAGGGTAATCTAAAATATCCCTGGACCCGACTTCCTTAGAAAATAAATTGCACTTGGTACCATAATGACCTCAGGAAACAAAGCTTCATTTAAACTTAAAAGCATCAGCCACAATTAAAGCACTGCTTAATTTTGCTAGGATCTGTTTAAACCACTGCCAGCCAAACCTTAACAGGGGCCACTGACCTTAAGTTTCTAACAAGCAATTAACTCTAGCATGCTTCCTAAAAATTTAGTCCTTTTGTAAATTAGCAAATAAACCACCAAAACAAAACAAAACTAAACCAACAAAAAATCCCAAACCCTAAACAAACAAAAAATCAAACAAAAAACTAACAGTCAAACAAACAAAACAAAAAACCCCCCACTCTCCAATAGATGAGTCTGAGCAGGTTCATTCTACAGCACCATCTTTCATTATTATGAATTCCACTGAACTAATTACAGTCATCTACCCAGCTTCCCCCAAACCCAAGAACTTTGTCTTTTTTTTAAAGCAAGTATCTCTACCTCCACACATCAATTTTTTGGTCAAAAAAACCCCCAAAAAACGAGGGGTTCCAGGTAAACAGCAGCAAAAACTGATGTTTAGGACCACAGCTGTTGTTGCAGTACCTGACAGAAATGCCCCCCAAGCTTTACTGTCTTATGGTTCCACTTGTTCTCACACTTGTGAGCTCCACATGGCCGCAGTGCAGACAAGCTCTAAGGAGGTACCAGAAGGCAAGCTCTAAATAAACACAAGACTTGCATTACCCCAGTTTACTGTCATTTGCCTTGAAGAGCACTTCAAATGTTTCAGTAAGTGTAAAATTGCAACACTCTTAACTGCTGTCTCATTAAGCATCAGAATAAACAGCTGCTTATTTTAATGGGTTTCTTCAGGCAGTTGCTAACAGGTCTTCTGCCACATGCTGTGGTCTGTGCTTAAATCTTATCAGAGGCTGGTTCTGCCAAATACAGTCTGTGGCTGCCTGCAAGGTAAAAGCATCCTTGAAAGCACTACCAGCCCGACAGCAGCTGCATGGCATTAAAGAAATGTAACACAACTTTGGAGCCACTGATATGGTAAAGCTGCCTCCAATCCCAATTTTCTAGCTGAGTTTTGCCAGCAAACTCTCTAGACCTTGGATTCTTCTCCAATAAATCCACTGATGTCACTGAGTATGACATTTTGCTTCTGCTTCCTTATGAGTTTGCTTCATGCTAGAAAGTGCCAGTTACATTTCACCAGTCCTGGAGACCCAGCTGGACATCTAAAGACAAGTTTCCATATTGCCTGATATCAGAGCAAAAAGAGGCGCCAGAGAGAGATTGTGAAACTGCAGGTAGAAGTCATAACAAACTGGCAAGCAAATGGCAATGCATTGCTCTATCCAACATAAATCAAAGACTGTGGAGATGAAGTAAAACTGCCCACAACACACAGAGCAGGTCCCCAGGACCCAGCTGACGATGAGGGCAGGTTTTTGTTTCTCTCACATGGACCTGTCCTCTCACTGCTGAAGATTCTGCATGGTCACTTCCACTTCAGCTTGGGTGTTTATGCTCACAAAAATTCTCTAGAAATAGCAATAGTTTTTCAGAACTTCTTCGTTGCCTGTTTTTATAGCAAGCTTGAGTGTCTGTTTCTGATTTTATGCCTCACTGTTATTTAAGCTGCTGCTACACTGATTGTCTTCTCTTGTAGTTAAGGATGTAGGCTGTAAAGAAGTCCTTTCCAATAATGTGCTCCAGAAAACCCCTAAATCTACCAGGCTACCACAAAAGGGAAATACCTGCTACTGTGGTGGGAGGACATGAGAGTCATGGGGTTTTTGTTGTTGTAGTTGTTTTGTTTTGTTATGGGGTTTTTGTTTGGGTTTTTGTTGTTTTGTTTGTTTTGAGTTTTTTTGGTTAGTGGGCTTTTCTGTTTGGTTGTTTGGGTTTTTGTTCTGTTTGTTTTTATTTTTTTTTAAATCTATTACAGCTGCAATAAGAAGTCATGAAGTCTTCCACACCTTCCCACTTTCTCCCCATCCCTTGGCATGATTTTGTATCTCTGGGATTAGGAAACAGTTGTCTCCCATTTGGTGGCAACCTCATGACCTTTCCCAAAATACCAGACCAGGTGCAGAGCAGAGAAGTACTTGCTTTCTCATTTCCCAGTTGCCAGATCTGGTCAGGATTTCCTGAAGGCACTCAGCACACCTACATAAACCCATACCCTGCGTGCAGCCTTGCCACCCAGCCATGGGAACACTGCTGAGAGAAACTCCAGTCCTTGATGCCTGAATTTCCCTGTCCCAGCTTCAGTGCAGTACCAGCACAGGCTCTGAGCAGGTGGCTGTATCCAGGGAGAGAAAGAGGCAGCTCTGCAGGCTGGCACCAGGTGGTGTCACCTCCCTAGCAGAAACATGCTGGGAATGGAACAGGAGGCACTGCACTGAACTGGGACAAACAGCTGTCTGCCAAGCTCCACAATACTCCCAGATCCAGGCTTCAGTTTCTCTCCCAGGAGAGCTGCTGCCACCAACATGTGCCCATCCTTGGCCACAGGAAGCCAGTTACAGAGCTCATGCCTACCACACCAGATCAGGAAAGGGATCAGCACCGCTGTGATTCCTAAATCACCATCAAACCAAAGCACTTATCTGAAAACAAGGGCAGGAGAAGCTTGTCTAGCCATTTTCTCCATGAAAGACTGCCTAGGGAACTTCCATCACCTTCCCAGTTCCACCCAGGCAGCACAGTTTTCCTGGTTCTGGTGGTTTTCCAGCAGAGCTGGGGTACTCAGGGTTACCCTGATGTTGTTACTCGGGTTACTCTGATGTGTCCCCAGAGTGCTGCTGGCAGGTCCTGTAAGCTCTTCTTGAACATAAAGAGCAGCAAGGCACCAGCCGTGACATTTTGGACACGTGGAGCCCTTACAAGGGCAGGCCTGCCCGCAGACACCCAGCTCTCACAGCATTCCAGAAAATATTCCCAGCAGGAGCTGGGAAAGACTCGCTGGGACAGGTACCTGTTTGGGCCAGAAAACTGCTGTCACAGGATGACATGTTCGTGGCCACACTGGCAGTGCAGGGCTTCATCCACACCCTCCTGTTTCAGCATGTGCCTTGCCCCATGGGGCGGCCTTTCAATTAAATCATGGCATCCTTCCAGATGCTTTGTATTAAAAGCCATCTCCACTAAGTTCCCTACAGAGCAGGTCTGCAAAACTATTACCTTCCCTTGTACCAAGGGCTCCAACTCTGCACAAGATTTAATAAAACAAAATAAGCCTCTTGAAAAATCAGTGGCTGCTCTGGCTTCCACCTTGACAAAAATCCTTCCATACAGGGAATAGATTAAAAGTAACCACTGGGTAGAAATTGGCTGAAATCTATAGACAACAGGTGGGAAAACAGATTAACACACTGCCTGCATTTTCCTGGGACAACCTGTTGGTTGTAGAGCAACAGAGATACCCTCTCCACAGCCTGAATGTGATTTAGATTTCTCCCTACATGAATTCTCTGTTGGGGCAATAGCTTTGGCTACCAGTATTGTCAATTGACTTCAGCTTGCAGAACTCAAGATAACAGTGCTCATAAAAGAGCCATGAAAGGCAGTGTGCACTGAGCTGCACAGAAATCAAGAGGTCTACAGCAAGTCTCAGACTATTTTAAAAACCTTCCACTCCTGCTGCTTTACTGCCTATCCCCCTAAACGTTTGCCAACATCAGTTTTTAGCAGAGTTCTTCCAGCAACACAGGTCTATATATTCCATATTTTCCATACCAAGCTCCACTTACAACCAGTTGCAATGCAATATCAAAGAAGCAGTTACCTGGATTATCAGGGCACCAGGATGTAGCTCCCAGTTTCACTCCTGAGCATACTTGGTGTTACAGCATTTACAACTGTGTAAACATCAACAGAATGCACTCATGGAATGATCTGGAGCCAAAGCCAAGTGCTGTAGAAAGCTTACAGATGCAGAATCAAGCTAGCTAGCCCGCTTCGGGGTAAAAAGGAGTTTCCTTAACAATTACATATTCTCCAAGCAAATATATTCTCCAATATTCTCCAAGCAAATAAATCCCAAATCTTCCCCCCCTCCTTAAGCACTTGACTTCTGACAGACTGCACGCTCTCTCACAGCAAATCACCCCAATTTGTGTCCTGCTTAGTAAATACGCCAGATTTCAAGAAACTTTGGCCTGTAAGGTAAAATGAATCCAAACTCCCCCTTTCCCACACCATGAATACTTGTCAAAAACAAAGCTTGATGCCATTACTGGGTGCCTGTCAGCAACTTGTATAAGTGAGCCCTTTAATAAGATGCAGAGCTTCCTGCTACTGTTCAGTATAGCATGTTCCATTCTCACAAGGTGAGGGGAATCTAGTGAATTTATCAGACAAAAAAGGGGAATTATTCTGCTTAGTAAATACTTTTGCTCCCTGTAGTCCAACATCTGGATTGTATT